CTATAGAGGTTCTCTATTTAATAGCCACTTCAGTAGTTTTTCATCCAGTATTTCTTCCAGTAGCTCTGATAACTTTAAAACAAACAGATTGGACCAGTTATGTTGATCCATTGACCCCCTAAAGTGGCCACTCAAATTTTGTAGTGGTCTAGTAGTAGCACTTAGATCTCTATAAGGGCCACTAATTTTAACCTCTTAAGTGACCACAAGTTGGACTACTATAGTGGCCACTAAAACGTCAAAACCCTATAGTGGCCGCTAAAAATTTCCCCAGTGTAGTAGGTTTTACGCGACTTGAAAATGAGTGACTTCTCTGCACCCTCCTCGTCTCTCGACGACTTTCTCTTGTTGACGCGCTATTTCCATGTTTCTCTGACCTCGTCGGTGAGGGAACAGAGAGACGCAGACGCTCGAAAACTTTCAAGCAGCGGTGGATGAACTATACCTTCCCTTAGGGAAATCCTGAGAAGGTCTAAGGAGGTTTGGGATCTAGACTTGAGAAAGCCTTTAGAAGGTCCTTGGAAGGTGAAAAATAAGAAAAATACAGGCATCCGTCCAGAAACCTTCAAGTAGGTAAGTGGAAGGTGTTGGGAGCTATGTGGAAGAAAACCAGTTGCTGGAAAGCTTCCAAATGCCTTCCAAGGAACCAAAAGCAGAAGCTTCGTAACACTTTCTCGGTGCTTACCTGAGAAGGAGGAAGTTTCAATTGGAATAAAAGAGAGCTTTCTCCTCGGAAAGTAATACTGAATTTGATTTGGGATAAATCGGGATTAGGACTAGTTAGACTTTAAAAATTGACCTTACAAAGCTCTAGAAAACTTCAGACAAATAATGATCTTTTAATTTTCTCATCACAAGAGAGGTAAATTTTTTCAGAGTTCAGAATCCTCTACAAACTCGCCTGAATACTTCTTGATGTACTAGATGAGCTATCTATGCCTCTTGATCTCTTAAATTCCATATTTTTCGGGAGCCGACGCCTCAAAAGCCCAACTTTTCACAAAATCAAAGTTTATGGATGTAAAAAGACCTCATATGAGTAAAGGCAGATGAAAAAATTGTCTTTTTGAGTGATTGTCCGTAGAGCGCACTTTTCTCAGAAAAATAGCCTTTTTTATAGAATGATGAAAGAAGGCTAAAAAATTGTTTCACATTTCCGTCAGGTAGTAGAAAAAAGCTACATGTATATTTAAAATATCGAAAAATTGAGCCCTTTTTTCAAAATTCTGAGCTCCAAAAAGCAAACCAATCCATACATATATATGAAAAACCCTCAAAATTAATTCTCTCGTGATTCAATCCAACTTTTTTCCTTCTGAAGCGCGGTTAAACCCCGAGGTTCTCTAATTCTCTTGAGATTTTTTCGGCAGATAGTTCGCCCTCCTTTTTGCCTCCCTCCAAACTCATGATATATTTGTACCTGCATCTGATTTTAATCTTCATTGATTCCGCGCCAATTTCGCGCACATCTTCCCGCCGCCGCCATCAAGGTTTTTCATCGAGGAATGGAAATATTGAGAGAAAACTAAATATAGTCTGTTCATTGTTGGCTAGAGGTGATCTTCAGAAAAATGTGTGAAAATCGGAAAACTAGGCCTCGAAAAAGATCAAAGAAACGGAAAGTTTTATCATATTTATGTAAGTCAGTCTCTGTGGAAACTTTTTGAGAACATTAAATTTTAAAAAATCAAAATCTTAATTCTAAATATCTTCATCAGACCGCGACGCGTTTAGCCATTCCAAATGCGGCCAAAAATAAAATAGTTACAAACAACTCTTGCCTATGATTATCTCTGTCCCCGACTCTCCACGGTTCCTCGCCACTTGCTATCCAATCGGAACAGCTCAAATTGAAACCAAGCCGTTCATTCTAACTCTCGTAGTTCTAACCAGAACAGCAGCGCGACCGCGACGCGTTCAGCCATTCCAACTGCGACCAACGAACTCAAACGGCCTCAGACCACTTATTTTATCGTTAAGCATCTCTGCCCCCGACTTTTCACGGTTCCTCGCCACTGGCCTTCCGATCCAATTGACTCAAAGTGATGCTTGAAGAAAACTTTAAAGGACCGCAGCGCGACACGTTTAGCCATTCTAAATGCGACCAGAAGCTTCCAGATCCTGACAAATAACTCAGCTTCCGACCTTTCACGGTTCCTCGCCATTTGTCATCCAATCAACGTGGAACAAAAAACTTGAAAAATCTTTAGCAAACCGCAACGCGACCGCGACGCGTTGAGCGATTCCCAATGCGGTCAGATTAACTCAAAAAGTGGCAATACTTTTCTATACTCTTAAAGAGCTCTGTCCCCGACCCTCCACGGCTCCTCGCTACTCACCAGCCAATCCAATCACCTCAAATTGAAGCCAAGTCAAAACAAATCACTGTTCTCCACGATGAACAACTCCGATAAAAACCTTCGAGTCTCAGCGAATTAGTTATAAAACGGTTCAGAAACCTCCGTCGAAAATGCGCGAATCGTTATCGACGGAGCGAATCTGTGCAGGTTCTTCTTGCTGGTCTTCGACACGCTTATCTCAATTCCAAACGACCACTTTTTGCCGCCCAAAATTGAGAAGTTTTATTGCTACATTTCTTGTTTTTAATTCGATTTTTTCGATGGCTTAGAGTAGGTTTGAATGGGTAGGAATTTTCGAGGGGAAAAAATAGCCATGGTCAGTTGAGATAATGCGCTCCATGGATAATACTTTCTTGAATTTTTCTCGGTATGAAGTTCCGTCAAAAATCAAAGTATTTCTTAACACTCTTATTAGTTTCGATATATCACTTAAGAATTCCAGAATTGTCCCTATAGGGGCTGGTATGAAAAGCCCCTATAGGGGACGAAAAAGTGGTCCCTATAGGGATTTAGGGTCTGATCCCTCACTCCCCAAAGCTCAATGGGGTCATTTAAAACCCTCAAGAGGACACTTATGCAAGCTTTAATGACGCCATAGGGGTTTTTTAAGTGGTCCCTAGAGAAGACACTTCAAAAACCCCAACGGTTGCCCTTAAAAGAATCATTCTGAGGTTCCTAAGTGCTTTTGAGAAATTTTTGTCACCTTAAAAAAAAAATAACTGAACACGACTGGCCGACAAAATGCGCTCCATGGATAAAATCCAAAATACCAAAAATACCGCAATTCCCATCGAATTTCTCAAAAAATCATTGAAGTCAATAAAATACACCAAAAATCAATATTCGCTCCATGGATAATTTTTGTTCGAAAGAAATTTTAACGGATCTGGATGGCGTTCTTCAAATCGAATTAACAAGTGTTGAGAAAAAACAGCCGCATGATTTCGAGAATGTGCGCTCTATGGATAAATTTACTGGGTATTTGAAAAAATCTTGAAATATGATCCAAAAAGTACCAATAAAATTCAACTAGAAGTGTTTCGATTCGGAAAACCACTGGAGTTCAAACTATGAACATTATAAATTTTTTTTGGCCAAAGATCAATGGACAACGTACTTCAATTTGTTTGAAATTATCAGAGTCACTGGAAGAAATACAAATGAGAAACTACGAAGTTGATAGAAGGTGAAATACACTATAGTGTTCTCTCAACTTGTCTTGGCGTCATATTTTAAAAATTTCAGTACTGAGGAATTTTCATTTTCGATAATTTTTATTTTGGAATTTCAAATACATTTTAGGAAATTCTGATTTCTAGTTTTTGAATAGTTATATCTGCAAATTGGAGTTAAATTGGGGATGTAGAAAGATTCAACATGTTTCTCTTACCCAAAGATTCTTTCATAAAATTTGAAACAGGCTCTTCACTAACGACACACAATAACTCTATTGTTTCCATTCACAAAACAAAAGTAGAATTGAAAATAGCAAGATCGGCAACAGATGTATGTATTAGGAGAGACCAGACATTTCCATTTTTCTCTGGCTCTCTACTATTCCCGTGTTCTCTAATTTCAAGCAAACAGTCTAATTTCAGAAGGAATGAGGTACACATGCAAAAAATATGATAGAGTGTGGAAAAAATGGAGAGACCAGGCTCAGATGAATATGTCTGGGACCCTCCACAATAATCATTATCTCTCTTATTTTTCAAAAACCGTTGATTCTCTATGTTCCAGCTGTATTAAAGGCACTAGGACCTTAACTTAAGGTCCTTTTAAGGTCGAAGGCGGCTGCTTGGGCGTACGCCGCTTGGGCCATCAGTTGCATGCTCAGAGTTGGGCGTTCGCCGGTCGCTTTCTTCAGTTTTGCCCGTTTGTTCTGAAAAAAATAAATTTTTAGAATCTTTGAAAAATATTTCAGCTTCTGAGACTCTGCAAAAAAACCTGTATATTTACAGGAATTACTTGTACCTGGGGAAAAATTTTTTACAAGCAATGGGGTTTATTGACTTTTTAGTAGCCATAAGGGGTATTTGAGTGGCCTACTATAGGGTTTTTGACGTTTTTTAGTGGCCACTATAGTAGTCAAACTAGTGGCCACTTGAGGGGTTAAAAGTTAGTGACCACTATAGAGTTCTAAGGGGTACTACTACATAACTAGAAATTCTAGTGGCCACTTTAGGGGTCAATGGATCAAAATAACTAATCCAATCTGTTTGTTTTAAAATTATCAGAGTTACTGGAAGGGATACTAGATGAAAAACTACTGAAGTGGCCACTAAAACGGAAAATAGTGGCCACTTTAGTGTCCTCTCTCCAAGTAGTCTATGGCGAGCCTCTATAGTGGCCACTTAAAATTTTCCAAGTTACGAAAAATTTTCAATTTTTTTCGATCTAATTTGCATTTCGAGGTATATTTTTCAAAAGACTTTTTCAAAAAAATTTTGATTTCAATAATTTTTTTCAAAACGAAATCTAATTTAGAGACGGTTATATCTGTAAGTTGGAGCGTAAAGTGGAGCATCGTACCAAAAAAGTCAACATCTTTCTCTTCGACCCCAAAATTCTTTCCATAAAACCCGAAAACAGGCTCTTCACACGAACGACACCTGTGCGCTCCATTGAGAAACCCAATTCGAACAAAACAAAAGGTAAAATTTGAAAATCGGCAAGTCGTTTTATTTCGCCCCATCACAGATGGCTATCTATTAGCTTTGTGTGAAAGGGGCACGCGACCCTTTTTTTTCCTTAGCCTACAGGGAGGGCCGTTCGCGCGCCATTGACAATCTACCGTAATGCGGAGGATATTTTCACTTGATTTTGAACCTTACTGAAAGGTTAACGTTATTTCCAATTTTGAAAATCACTCAAAAATGTTTTTTGATATGCTAGAGGAGATTCTGGCGGACTCAATTTGCAAAAAAAATACTTTTTTGAGAAAAAAAGGACTAAATTCATCAGAATGATCCATTCAACTGAATATGATGTTTTTTTCTCGATTTTTTTCCAAAAATAAATAATTTTTTTGAGCTTTTAGGGTCTCCTACTACTGAAAAATTATACTAGCGAAAACTGCAAAAAAAAAAATTTCTGATAAATTCAAAAAAAACATCAGTTTGAAGCTTTACAACCCCTAATTTATCCATGGAGCGCAAAAAAATACAAATATCTCGGCTCTTTTCGAACTACAGTTTCGCTCAATGAAAAATTCAAGCTTGATTGTCAAATATTTTCAAAAAACTAACTTGCCTGTTTCAGAAAAATTTTATAAATAATCGTGACATTCTGCGAATATTAATGGATTTGCACTTTTAGAAATATGTAAGAGAACAGCTAATTTTCCCCTTCATAATTAAAAGTATTCGCTTTTTACAAACTTCCGCACTTTAAAAAATCTATCTCGTAGAAAAGGAAAGTTCAAAAACTCCTTCTACAGTAACCCATTCCTCACGGGACTCGAAAATCAAAATTAATTGATTGCGACAAGACGTTCGAAACGGTTTGTTTTGAAGGCCAGGAGATTCGAAACTAAGTTTTTGTTACAAAAAGGCGTTCTTGAACCGTTTTTGGAGGGAAAAGTCGCGCCGACGACAATGATTGATTATGGCGGCTACAGTAACCCTCAGATGCACTTGGACGTTCCCTTTTTTCGTGTGGGAAAATTCAAATTTCGGCTCTTTTTTTGCATGTTTTTAGATGCAAAGTTAGGGAATGCGGACGCTTGTAAAGTTCGGCTATTATTATATAATTCAAAAAAAAACAACTCTTATGAGTTTGAAGAAAGAAAAAAGACAGAATAATCTCGGAATTTAACTAGATTTTTTTTTGAACGTCTTTAAAATGCGGACATTTTCAGAATTTCAAAAAGTTAATCTGAAAAAGCTAAAAGAGTCTCAAAAGTGCTTTAAAAATATAACCTTTCAAAAATTCAGAAAAAATCAAGTCTGTAGCGGGAAAATTTTTAGTGACCACTTTAGGGTTTTGACGTTTTAGTGGCCACTTGAGGGGTCCAAATAAGTGGTCACCATAGGGTTTTGAAGTTTTAGTGGCTATTATAGTAGTCAAACTAGTGGCCACTTAAGGCGTTAAAAATTAGTGGCCACTATAGAGGTCTAAGTGCTACTACTAGACCTTTAAAAATTTTAGTGGCCACTTTAGGGATCAATGGATCAACATAACTGGTCCAATCTGTTTGTTTTAAAATTATCAAAGTTACTGGAATGAAAACTGGATGAAAAACTACTGAAGTGACCACTAAAACGGAAAATAGTGGCTATTATAGAGGCGGGTTTAGTGACCACTTTAGCGTCCTCTCCAAGTAGTCCTTGGCGAGCCTCTATAGTGGGCCACTTGACAATTTCCCAGATTACTGAAAAATTTTTTTTTGAGGTTCAGACGTCTAGAGCATCGAACTGTACGAAAATCAGCAAAAAGCAGTTTTTTTCACAAATCTAATCAAATATTTTGATTGAACCATCACTGATATTCAGTTTCTGGTTCTAAAAAAATCCTTGGAACAATATTTTTCGAACAACTTCACGTCTATTTGTCCTAAAGCCAGCCAAACTAATCCCTACCGTATCACGACTTATTAGGGGCAAAAAAACGCTGCGGGGACGGCAAAAGGACTGATATCTCGGCGTAATATCTGTGTAGAGGCGGATGATCTCAAGGTGAATCCCGCGCAAGTCTAATTGGCCCCTTTGCAACGCATCTCTCAGGCAGCAGCACAGATCCACAACTGGAGATAGCTCCACTTGTCATGTTCTTGTCGTTTTGAATCTACAAGAAGGCCTAGGAAATCGATAGGAAAGATTGTGAAACTTCAAAAAAGACTAGGAAGCCTTCAGTTAGCTTAAGAACCACATCAAGAACAAAAACGGGGCTTTGAAAGACGGGAATGTAGGAATCGAACTCATCTTCCATTTTATCGTCACTTTTGAATCTACCAGAAGGCCTAGTAATCGATAGGGAGCTTGTAGAGCTTTAAAGAGGTTCAGGAAGTCTACAAAAAGCTCAGACACCGCGTGAAAAATAAAAAAAGGCTTCAAAACTCGAGGAAAAGCTCTATAAAGCAATCTGATAGGCCTTTCACGTTCTTGTCGTTGAAGGCCAAAAAATCAATAAAGAGCTTTTTTAAAGCTTAAAAAAGCCTAGTAGTCGAGGAAAGTGTACTTTAAACTTTCAAAAAAGTCTGGAACCGTGAGAGCAATGAAAAAAGTCTTCGAAACTCAAGCAAAAGCTCGATAAAGGAACTGAACTCTTTCATGTTCTTGCCGTTTTCAACTTTCAAAAAGGTCTAAGAAAATGATAGGGAACTTTTCGAGCTTTAAAGCAGCCCAAGAACCACGTCAGGAACAAAAACGAGGCTTTGAAACTCGAGGAAAGCTTCCTGAAAAAGCTTACTCACCTTCACTGTTCTTGTCATTTTGAATCTTTAAAAAAGCCTAAGAAATCGATAGGGATAGCTCAAAAAAAGCCAAACTTCAAAGAAAGTGCATAGAAGCCTTGGATTAGCTCAGGGAATGCTTAAGAAAGAAAACCGACTTCAAAACTCGGAAAAAAGCTCAATAAAGCAACCTGAAAGCCTGGTTTTTTTCTTTTCGAAACCTTAGTCTAACACACCTGGAATTTATCATCAAAAAAAGTTTCTAGCCGAAAAATCGAGATCCTCTACACTGCGGTTTCATGAAAATGTCAAATTTTCATAATCAAAATCAATTTTCAATAAACTAGGGTAGTCCAACCGAAAGTATAAATGAGAAAATCATTTTTTATTAAGATCTAAAAATCCTTCGCCGCTATTTTTTACAGAGCTAATTTTGCGAGGCTATTTTTTCCGAGCCTTTCTCAGTCTTTATTTCATAAAAAAAAAATCAAAAAATAACTTTCGATTGTTGAAATTTCAAACTTCCAGTATTTTCTATCTACCTCCTCCCATGAAAAATTTTTCATTTTTTTATTTTTTTGAAAAAAATCGAATTTTTTTACATTCTTAGCTAGTTCTCGTGCCTTTTTTTAAAGAGCGATTATTTTAGGACCAACTTATTTTTTTGAAAAAAAGTGGTAAATATTATTCTTCAATTCCGTGGCTATTTCAAAACTGACTCATACCTGAGCTCCAAAATTTTTTTAGAAGAAATCAAAGGAATTTTACGTGATCAGAGGGACAGGATTTACATTTTAAAAAAATGTAAAACACTGAAATTTTTCGACATTTGAGAGTCCATAACTTTTTTCACAGAGCTCCTCGACAGCTTTTTTTGAGACCAGATTTGGAATCAGAATGAAAAACTACCTCTAGAAATCATGGTCTCATTCAGAAGTCCCACTGTGAGATGAGACCATTCTCTGGTGAGTTTAGAGGTTATTTTTATAAAACTATTTTCAAAATAAAGATCTAGGAGCACTTTTTACCCAGATTTTTCCACTTCTTACAATCTTCTTGAATTTTTCTGCGGCTATTTTTTCTCAACGCCACTCCCAAAAAGGTCTCAGGGAAGACGAACGAGGCTCGAAAAAGGTACGGCTGATGGAACGTTTGTGATAGGCGTTTCACATGTAATTTCGTCGCCGTCGCAGTCGCGATCAATTACCGCGATAAACCAGCCCGCCTTTTTCGCGCACCTCAAAGGGAGAAAGCGCGCGACTTCTCATTAGTCCATAACTAAATCGGGAACACTTATCGTCGTGAATTAGTGAATAATTAAATGGAGGAACACTTATACGGCTCATAAATTTAACAGATTTAACCATTTTTTGAGTTTCTGGAGATACGAGATTCAGAAAACGCTTCACGAAGGGGGTGGGGGTCGACTTGATTTTGAAGGAGTTACCCATTTTTGAGTTGTTGGAGGTTAAAACTACAGAAAATAAAAATAGCTCCGCATGGGTGCTGAAAATAAAATACTTGCGCGAAAAAGCGCGATTTCTCATTAGTCAATAATTCGCACACTGAAATTTGAACACACTAAAACTTCTCATTAATCAATAATTAAATGAGAAACACTTATTCAAATTATTGACTCATGAATCAAACAGATTTACCCATTTTCAGAGTTTTTGGAGGTTAAAATGGGGGAAGGGACCTGAAATTAAAACACTCAAAAATAAAAGTGAAATTTTAATCGGATCCAATTTATTCACAGCACAGACTAATCCCTTAAGCCAGTGTATTTACTTTTTAAAAAAATTTTTGGGTGACCTATCTTCTGAAAAAAAAATGGAAAACGTATCAGTAGAGATCGCCACTTTATTTTAATTTGCAACAATTTTTTTTAAAAGAGGTTTCAGAAAAAAAAACTTTCGACGATACTTGATCACAAGAAACCTTTCCTGAATCATCCTATTTAAAAAGATCAGAGCACTTTTCTAGATGATTTAATTAATCTTATCTCAGATTAATGACTTTCTTCGAGTTTTTTTAGGGGATCAAATTTCATAAAACTACAGGATTTCTCAATGGAGCGCACATGGTCATCAAAAGTGAAGCTATTCCTACCCAACAAATTTTCTTCATATAACATTTTTTTTACCCACCTGGAACCAAATTTTGATCTGCGACTCATTGAGGCCGAGTTCGTGGGCGAGTTCTTGGCGTCGTTTTTCGGTGAGGTACCTGAAAAACTAATTGTTTTTGAATTTTCGAAAATTGGAGCTATCGAGATAAAGTATCATTACCACATGCTGCAAAAATTTCGAAAAATCTCTTTTTTTTTCCAAATCAAAGAGCTATATGCCGTGTTCAAAGTAATTTCCGCGAAATGCAAAATGGTCTCTGACCCTCCAAAATTTAGTTATCTTTCTCTTTCTCTGACGGCTATTTTGAATTTCGCGAAATCACTTTGAACACGGCAATAGTAATGATCATTATTAAGATAAGTATCATGATCAAAATATTAAAAATGGTTCAAAATAATCTTTTTCCAAAATTTGAAGCTTATAGATGATAATAATAACGTTATTTCATGAATAAGTTTACATTCTATGAGAATCTTAAAAATGATGCGTCAAGATGTAAATCAATCCACGTGAAAATGAAAACATAAGTTTCGAAGATTCGAGATAAAGAAATGAGATGACTTTTTGATATTATCGCGTTGTCCTATTCAAAAAAAAAAACTAAAAATTATTTACTGAACAACTGGCATGCTAATGGTAACCAGGGTACAAAAAATTATAGTTTCAAGAAAGGGGAAAATTCGAAATTTCAAACAGACTGGGAAAATTTTAGTGGTATAAAGGCTCGCCAAGGACTACTTGGAGGGGACACTAAAGTGGCCACTAAACCAACTTCTATAGTGGCCACTATCTTCTGTTTTAGTGGCCCCTTCAGTAGTTTTTCATTCAGTATTCCTTCCAGTAACTCTGATAATTTTAAAACAAGCGGATTGGACCAGTTATGATGATCCCTTGACCCCTAAAGTGTTCACTAGAATTTTTAGTGGTCTAGTAGTAGTGCTTAGATCTCTATAGTGGCCACTGATATTTAATCCCCTCAAGTGGCCACTAATTTGACTACTATAGTGGCCACTAAAACGTCAAAGCCACTGGAAATTTTCACAGAGAAAGCTGTTCATTTTCAAAAAAGTGCCCGAACTTTACAGAAACCCCGAAAATTTACCGATTATCGAGGAACTGTTGCTTGAGGCGGTCCAATTGTTCGGGCGTGAAGGCGGTCCGGGGCCTTTTTTCCTCTTCCGAACCGCTCCCGGTTGAGTCCCGTTTTCGCATCTTTCGACTTCTCGGCCCTAAAAACTGCCCAGTCAACTTGATGGTTCAAGAAACATTTAAAAATGGATATAAAATACTTCAAAATTGACTATAAAGCGAGAGAGGCTACAACCTTCAAGAGACGCAGAGAAACAAGTATTTTGTCTGCTTTTCTAGACCTCTCTTCAATTTACCTACTCTCTAGCTATTTTACCCAAGAGTCAGAAAAATAAAAATGAAATCGACAAGAAAAGTGAGGGAGTGATTGAACTTGAAGAGACGCAGAGAAACAAACAATTCGTCTGCTTCTCTAGCCCTCTCTTCAATTTCTCTTGTCTCTAGCTGGTCTCTCCAAGAGTCAGTTCAAAATAAAGAGAAAAAATTAAACTGAAATTGACAAAGGAAGCGAAAAGCACTTCAACACGAAGAGACGCAGAGAAGGAGAGGAATTGGTCTGTTTCTCTGCTTCTCTTAGTTCTACACGCTCTCTCACCAGCTCTCTCAAAGTCTCTAGCTATTTCATCATCAGTCCAAACGTCCAAACTATTCGAAATTTAAAGAAATCTTCAAGAAAACTCAAAACAGTTATTTCTAGCTAAAAATTGATCCGCGGCCATTTTTCAACACGAAAATGCGCTCCACCTGCAGAAGGCCTATCCGAATATCGTGTGCAGAAGACCCAAGCAGGGAACATGGCTCGGTTATCGACAAAGTTGGGCGATAGGGAGCTTGGGCTCGGCGCTTGGGGACTTCCCGAGCTGCTGGAAAATGTCGGCGATGACGTCATTTTGCCGAGCTCCGCCCCCAGGATCCGCTCGATTCCGAATTTCAACGGTGACGGCTGCATTTTTCCTGAAAATTTTAGATTTTTTTATTTTTTTAAAAGTGATAAAAAAATCAAATTGCAGGTGTATTTTCTACCTTGGAATCTAGGGGTCGCCCTTTTTTTCTTCGAAAAAAATTTTTTTAATGAGCTTTTTAGAACAAAAATTAACATCCAAAACAAAGAAAAAAATCGTAATTTTTCAATTTTTTTACAAAGAACTGAGCAAGCTATGGTTATCATGAGCAATAATGATCAGATTTCAAAGCTCCTATCGATTTTCTAAGAGTTCTAAATAACTGATACAGTCAATAAAAATTCAAAAACTTCAAAAACACCTTCAAAAATAAATTAGAAGAAAGAAATCATGACGGGACAACCGTTTTGGAGACAAAAAAGGCATGTCAATTTGCGCGAGGCCACGCCCACAAGCCTCGAGCCATTCCCCGTCGGCTCCGCCCACTCTTTTTGACCAAATTTGGAGAAAGAGGTCGCCGACTAATTAGGGGGTGTCGCCGGTTGACATGACGTATCTACTGTGAGAAATTATCCGAGGATATTGTAATGAGGTTAGGGTTACTGTATTTATTGTTGAAATTTGGTTCGGGTACGGTAGATTGGATCTCAAGATGATCTCACTAAAATTGGGAAACTTGAAAAACAACCATTTAGTGGCTAATCAGGTTACTGTAGTTATAACAGGAGTTCAGAAAAATGCTGAATTTTCATGGCAATCAAAAAATTGAGTGATACTGAAAAAGAGTTTCTTTTTTCAGATAACAGAGTCGTAGTCATACCAGAAAAATTTTTCTGACGTTTTTCAAATTTTAGTCCAGTTCTTCTAGGACACTTTCACATTTTGGTTTACTGGAAACTTGAAAATCACTGAAATTCTCATTGGAGCGCACTTACTCCTGTAAAATGGCTCATTTTTCAAGTTATTCTAGGCTTTTTAATTTCGTGTCAAATTTCTCATTCAAGCTTCTTTTAAAGTTCCTTTACGACGACATGGGAAGCATTAGCCGCATTGAGAAAAGCTGAAAACGGTTTAACAAAAATGTTGCGCCCGACCACAAAACGACTTACGCGCGATACCTCAAGTACCAGCTGTTGAAAGCTAACTGAGACCTTCACTAACTTGTCAAACAGCTTTTGGAACACTGAAAACTTGGAAAACATGGAAATTCTCAATGGTGCACACTTTACTTCTGCAAAAATCGCTTCTCCTTTGAGTTATTTCCAGCTTATAAATTTTCTCATTCTAGCTCCTTTCAAAGTCCATTTAAGAAGACATGGATAGCCTCAGCCACACTGAGAAAAGCTCAAAACGGTTAAAAACTGCGCCCGACCTCAAAACGACTCACGCGCGATACCTCAAGTGCCGGCTTTTAGAAGCTAACTGGGACCTGAGCCATTCTAAACGCTACCAGGGCTTTTTAAGACTTAATTATCGCTTATTTTTAAAGCTTGAACCTTGCACAAAAACCATTGATAAAACTAAAAACACGGCTTTATCTAATTCAACTCAATGAAAAATCAATCATCCCCTTGGAAATCGAAAAAAAAGAAGGTACGGCGAAGGTAAGACAAAAAACGGATGGAAAATTGGCGGCGTTTTAGCGCAAATAGACACGTTTTGTTTTTGTTTGAAGAGGTGGGCAGATGCCGACGATAAGCATCGCCGAAATTCTCTTCAGAAGACGACGACGACGACGGCACACACACAAATTTCTTCCGCCCCAATTCGGCCTCATTTCGAGGTCGTTTTGAGTCAATTCCATTCATGGTTATTGGATTGATCAACATCAAGGAATATTGTACCTGGGGGAACCGAAAATTTCTCCTTAGGGGGGACCTTTCTTTTTATTTTCTTCCTGGATTATTTAAGTTAATGGAGAAAATTGAGCCAATTTAGCGGTTCAGAAGGGTACCGTATCTCTGTTCGATGGAGCAAACTGGGTATTTTGAAAAAGCCTTTTTTGAACGAAAAAGGTAAATATTAAGGCAACGGCCTCGAGGTCATTTTGTGAGCAAATTTATTTCGTGACTGAAAAAATCATCGTCAAGGGTTACTGTAGAAAAAGAGGCTACAGTATCACAACTAATACTGTTCACTGGAGCAAAGTTTGTCAGTCGACCTGATTATTAAAAAAAGATCGAGCCAATCTTTCGGTTGTCAAATTTAAGGAAAATAAAGATTTTAGAGATTGACAAAAATACAGAAAAACTTTATTGGATTTCTCAATGGAGCACAATTTCCAGTTTTTGGGAAAATTTTTAGTGGACACTATAGGGTTTTGACGTTTAGGAGCAACTATAGTAGTCAAATTAGTGGCCACTATAAGGTTTTGACATTTTAGTGGCCACTCTAGAGGTCTAAGTCATACTGCTAGACCACTGAAAATTCTAGTGGCCACTTTAGGGGTCAATGGATCAAAATAACTAATCCAATCTGTTTTTTTTTTTAAATTATCAGAGTTACTGGAAGGAATACTGGATGAAAAACTACTAAAGTGGCCACTAAAACGGAAAATAGAGGCCACTATAGAGGTGGGATTAGTGGAACCTTTAGTGTCCTTTCCAAATAGTCCTTGGCGAGCCTCTATAGGGGCCACTAAAAATTTTCCCAGTTTAGCTCAAAAGAGGGCTTCAAAACACTATAAGAGTGAGTTGTAAGACTTCTTTTTTTTTCAATTGCCAATTGGAACGCGAATGTTCTTTGACAGCTTCCCATTCATCTGTATCCCTTCTCAAAACCTTGCAACACCCTTACGATTTCAAAAACCCCACTTGTTGAAGTGAAAGTTCATCTTTCAAATCGAAGAGACAAAAAAAGTAGAAAAAAAACGGTATAAAAAAGCGTGCGTCGGCAACACTGTAACGTTGAAATAACAGATGTAATCTCTCTAGTGGGAAAGTGTCAATTTGAAAAGGATCGAAGTTGTTTTCTTTCGAATGGATTGGAGTTCATAGTCCATTTAGTTATTTAATACCGTCCGCGCTTTAAAGATCCATTCATTTAGACTCAAATTATCAGGACACTCGGAAACGTCCGCGAATTACAGATTTTTCAAATCTAGCTCAACCTTCACGAACGGCCGATCTAATCTTTCACACAAGCTTTGAAAAAACAGCCATAAAACCACGGTTCTCCTTATTATTGTCACATCACTTTAGTACCTCAAAACCGTCCGCAATTTACAGATTCATCCAGCCAATCTCAACTATCAGGACAGCTGCTCTTTTTTGTTGAAAAATGCCAGAAACTTTTCAAAAAAGGTCATGATACTTCTTATCACTTTCCTAAGTCAATTTAGTCCCTCAAACCGTCCGCAATTCACAGAAATACCAATTTTTCAAAAAAAAAAAGACATTTTTCAGCAAATTTTGTACAAAAAGAATTCACTTTCTTCTACAAAACATCCTTCAAGCGTCAGTTCAGTGTCTCTAAACCGTCCGCATTTTACAGACCCATCCAGATAAGTTCAACCTTCAGGATATCCAATCAAATCTCTCACAGAATCTTTAAAAGTTAGAAAAAAAAATGACGAGTATCCTGATTATTGTCACGTCCCTTTAGTCACTCTGAACCGTCCGCACTTTACAGACTTCTCCAGCCAAGCTGAACCTTCAGAACAGCCAATCTAATCTCTCACAAAATCTTTTAAAAACAACGTTTATCCTCATTATTCCCACGTCACTGTAGTCACTCAAAAACCGTCCGCAATTTACAGACCCATCCAGCAAAGCTCCACTATCAGGACAGGCACTCGATCAAGCCGTTTGGCCAATTAACTGAGATGACGCAAAGCGTCGGAACACGGTCATGACGGATCGGGCCGTTGCGCAATACGCGACGCGTCCGCGACGCATCAGGGTCGCGCCGAGGCTGTAAAAACATTTGCAACGTTGCGCCAATCTCTGACCTCATATTCGTTATTTATGGGAGCCCGTATCGAGAGTTATAGACAGACACACGGAGGCGCTAAACGTCAACTTTTAATCTTCAGACCATCGATAGATGTTGGGGATCGGAATCGGTTGGCGTGACATTGGCCCCTATAAATTGATGGAAAAATGGCTCTAGAGATAAGAGAAGATGGTAGAAAAATTTTCCAACAAGGGAAAACTTTTCTGGTTGAGACTGAGATGACTTTAGAACAATAGTAGTCAAATTGGTGACCCCTTAAGGGGTTAAAAGTTAGTGGCCACTATAGAGGTCTAAGTGTTACTACTAGACCACTAAAAATTTTAGTGGCCACTTTAGGGGTCAATGGATCAACATAACTGGTCCAATCTGTTTGTTTTAAAATTATCAGAGTCACTGGAAGGAATACTGGATGAAAAACTACTGGAGAGGCCACTAAAATGGAAAATAGTGGCTACTATAGAGATGGGATTAGTGGTCACTTTAGTGACCTATCTAAGTAGTCCTTGGCGACTACAAAAACGCGAAAATCTTGCATTGAGTCCCGCATTTAAGCCTAGGTTTTTACCCAAATCGTTAAAACACATCGGGTTATCAGCTCGGGCAACAGTTTCGCTACATCAAGACTTATTAGCCCAACGGATGCTACTGACCAAAAATGGGAAGTTGAAAACTCATCAAATAACTTCCAGAAGAAACCTTCCTCATCAGCCCGAAAAAACCCATTCCAAAACCAACAAGATCAATTTTAATCAACTTTTATTGTATTTTAAAAAAATAAATGTGTCGGTGAGAGCAGTCTTTCAATCACTGCACTTTGACCTTGACTGGAAAATGACAATTTTATATTGATGAATGATTTTCTGAAAAACCTTGGTAGTCTGACTCCTGGTCGCAACAGTCGGCACCTTGGCAGTTTTCACCCCGGAGAACGAAGATTTTTTAATATCCGTCGACTCCGTTGAATTCCTCAGCGACTGAAAATACAACAGTCTTTATAAGGAACAAAGAAAGCAAAATATTAAGATTTTTACTTTTTATTTGAATCAAAAAGAAACCTTTACCTTTTTTTCTTTTTGCTCGCCAGGCGCCTCATCGCCCCAGTCGCTCTTGATGTCGTCGAGCGTCGGGTAGCGATTTTTTTATCAACTTTCAAACCTTTCTTGATGATTTGCTGTAAAAAAATAATCAATGATCATGATAAAGACGATATCGAAATTTGCGAATTGAGCATTTTTAAACAACATAGAATCCTAAAGAAATATTTTTCGATTGCAATACGAAAAAAATTAATCCTTTTACGAAAAACATCAAACAATCAGTTTTTCAATTAGATAAAGCGTCAAATAATTACAATGCCTTTTTTTAAAAATTTATCAAAAGTTATAGAACCACATCAAATTCGAAAATAAACCTATAAATCCCGATATTTGGAACTTGCCACATAGACCTTCCTTCGCGAAAACTATGTAACTTTTTTTTCACATCAAAACCTATAGTTCCAAATACTAAGAGCCCTAAGAAGTCAACGAACAAGTTGAATGAATCAAAACTGAACGAAATATAAGAAAAATAAGAAAAATAATCGAAAAAGCCCTCCAGGGAGCTTTTCGCTGTTGAGCAGCTTTGCAGCAAAACACATTTTTGAGCGCAACCGAATTTTTTTCCTTTCCTTTTTTTTCATTTTCTTGATCCATTTCAATGTTTTCCGGAATCTTAAAGCTCTAAGTTATAAATTCAACTGTCCGTGGTTTTACAGGGATCAAGAATTTTTCTTCTTGTAGTTCGTTATGAGTCAAATTTTTTACCTCCTTTTCGTTTGGCTCAATCTGCCGTGGCCGGATGCTCGGTTTCTTGCGACCCTTCGTCACTGCTCTATCCGACGGCCGTCGCTGGAAAATTTTTCAATTACCATTTGTTTGATATACATTTTAAGTAAATACCTTAGGTGGAGGGTTATCACTGCAGGTTGTGGCGGACGCAGCAAGGACCATTAGTAAAACTAGAAAGACAACTTGGAGTAGCATTGTTCCCTGGGATCCGTTGGAATGAATTGAAACAGTCGATTTGGGAGAGGAACTCACTATCCGCTAGAAGCGGCGCTTGCCTTGGTAGAAAATAGTCGGGACCAAAGAAGATTTTACGGATTAATTTTGTTCTTATCTCTCGTTAATAACTTTATATGAAGCTTTAAGTTTATTTTTTGCATTTTATTTCTAGAATCTCGTCTAAAGAATAGAAATATTCATTAAAAACCGTCAAAATGATGAACTTTTTCTTCAGAAAATTGATCAGAATCTTTCAGTACGCTTCTCTCTGCACTTTCCTTAAATTTTTCGCCCCTTTTTCTCGTTTTCCTTCTTCTTTTCAAGCTCAAGTTCAAAATTTCCTTATCAAACACGTTTTTCGTCGTTTCATCAGTTGTTTAGAAGCATCCGAGCGCCACGTTGCGTCGCTGATAAGCGCCTGAATGTCTGCAGTTCGAGAGAAATCACAAATGTAACCAGGATTTCGTGAAAAAGTATGTTTTATGCTCTTGGTTGAAGAAAAAGAGTTGAAAATTGAATAAGTTTAATAAAATTGAAATTTTTTTCAGTTTTTCTTTTTCTTTTTTTGTATTACTTGTAAGCTTTCGATCTGTAATTTTTATCGTGTATATGTTTTGATTTATTCTCGTAAAGTTTCAACTTTAACTCACTAGTCAGACTTGCTTTGAAAGATCTTTCCCTAGAAAATTGGGTTTGAAAAAAATATTTCGAATATTTCAATTTTTTTAAATTAAAAGTTATTCTCATTCAGAATTTCCTTTTTCTATTTCAATTACGTTTGAAATATGTTTTTATTGTATCTAAAACGTTTTTTTAAGTAGAAGTTCTGAATTGGTTTTAATAAAAAAATCATTCAACTTGCTAACTTTCAAATTTTTTCAAGTAGTTTTTTTAGGAAATAAGGGTAATTTTTTTCAAAGATAGTTTATGTTTTATTATTTAAATAGTTAGCTCGATTCTGACTTTTTTTCAACTTTTAAATGCATCATGAGGCGCATTTATTCAGGAAAAAAATATATCATGAAAAAAATATGAATTTTTCAATCGTCGATGTTACCCCTTCATATCAAAAAACAAAATTTCTCGATTCCTTCAACAATTTTTAATCGACAACCAATGAAATTGTTACTTCAAATTCATGAACTCTATAGTCTGTTCAGATTTTGAATATCAAGTAGAATGACGTCATTCAAAAATGCTGTGTGGATGGCTCGCTCTCTGATTGGTTTATCGCACCATTATGGGCGGAGCTTGAGCGACGACTTGACATTAAAAATCTGAACAGACTATATCAGAGTTTCAAGCCATTCCAAATGCGACATATTCATTCCAAGTAAAGTCAGAAGTTTTTATTCTTTGCAAATTTTGAAAAAAATAGGAAAAAAGCGGAAAAAATTTAGGCGCAGCCGCAACAGCTGTGGATGGCGTTCCAGTAGCCGGCGGTTCCCGCATATTTGCAGCCGTTGGGGCCTCCGTTGTGGTTTCTGGCCATAACCTGCAGATATTTCACTTATTAAGGTTTTTTCGTTTTATCATATAGATATGTAATAATTTTCTCTTCCTATCGATATACGACTTGATAGGGAAGTCTTTGAAAAGATGACTGAAAAAAGGTGAATTCCTGATTTTCCTTCAGAAAAAAAAATTAGGGGCCTTGAAGGGTTTTTACCAACCCCTACAGTGGCCGCTCAAGCTCGCAAGAGTGGTCCCTATAGGGGTTTCAGTTAGTGGCCACTATAGGGGGCGTGTTAGTGGTCCCTATAGAAAATATGCTAGTATTTTAAGGAGCCACTTTTTGCCCCCTATAGGGGCCACTTGAGCTTTAGAGTCTAAGGAATCAGATCCTAAACCTCTATAGGGACCACTTGAATTTTTCCCCCATAGGAACCACTTTTCCGTCCCCTACAGGAACCACTTGAGCTTTAGGGTCTAAGGGAGCAGATCCTAAACTTCTATAGGGACCAGCTAAATTTTTTCTCCTGTAGAAACCCCTTTTTTCCCTGTAGGGGCTGTTTTTCCTTCCAACCCCTATAGGGACCACTCTGGGATTTCCTAAGTAGCTGTGAATATTTCTATGAGGAGCTTGAGGCCTTTCTATTTCCTTGAAAATAAAAAGCCAAAGTTCCAGTTTTCAAACTATTTTGAAACAAGTTCTATGAATAATCAGTTATTCTCATCATGATAATTTGGAAAAATAAAACAAATTGTTTACCTGGCAAGCTCCTTCACCGGTGGAAGCGCAGTTGCCCTTGTAGCGGTTGTAGTAGTTCTGGAAAAAGTACGATTTTTCTTGAAAATTATAAAAATCTGATTTTTCTCCTCTTCTCGGCCATCAGTGAGAGAGAAGAGACGCAGACAGACCAGAAATTTTTCATGTTGTTTCGAATGGACTAGCGCCAAAAATATCCGCAAAAAATATATACCGAATTAGATCGAAATAGAGCATTTTCGTTTCAAGACCTTTGTTGTCTTCTGTCTTTTGTAGAGCAAAAGGTTGTATTTCTAGCTTTTTCTTTTCGGTTCTTTAAAAATGGCTCGGAACCACGCATTCCTAATGGGGTGAGTAAGCGAGGCGTCAAAGCTTCTGAATTTCCAAAAAAAAAAGTGAACGCGCGCTTCGGATAAAAGGACTGTGACGTCACAGCTACCTATCGTTGCAAGTTAAACTGAGTATTCAACGGCATGAAGAATACATTTGGCTGCGTAATTGAGATTTCAAATTTCGCGCCAAAATTTTTTTTTGACGTTTCCCCACCCCGTTTGGGAACGCCGTGAAACGGATTTCCATGCTACAGATCGAATGTGTACCTGAACGCATTCGGTGGAGCAGTTGTAGTCGTCGGAGCAACGTTTCCAGGCGGCTTCAGTCGTTTCGCCAGCCTTCTTTCCGACTTGGCCGCAGTCCTCGTAGTACGGAAGTTTCAACTGGAAAAGTTAGAAATGGTTGCAAAAATTGAAGTCTATGGATTTTTGAAAGGTTCTGAATATGAATAATTTCTGAACTTTATATAAAATAAGTACCTGGTAATAACCGCAAGACAGAGATCCGACGTCCATGCGGCATCCGAGCGGCTTGCATCCGGATTCGTGGAGGCAGATGCAGTGGAGGCACGTGTCGGCCGCAACGGCGGACACTGCAGATTTTCAGCTTACCGTAATCTTTTTTTCATAAAAACATGGGTATATAGTCGATTCATGACTAGCTTGGGATCCTGTCTGCGCTCTCCACTAACCAGGCACTATCTCTTTTCTTATCGTGTCAGGACCCATTTTTCGAAGGCTCAATTCTGCCGTGAATCAGCTATAGTTGATCCAGATTTTGTGCAATGACGTCATTGAAAAACGCTCAGTGGATGGCTCGCTCCTTGATTGGTTTATGACACCATTAGGGGCGGAGCTTGAGCGAAAACTTGAAGTTCAAAGTAGGGACTTTCTGATGGGTTTCATGACATCATTTGGACCTCTATAGGTGACTTATTTTTAGTTAATAGTCGATTTATAACAGTTTTATAACAAAAATTTCAGGGATCTACTGTGAATATTCTGTTGAAAAATCCTTGCTAGAACATAAATAATTGTAAATTTCTATGCAAAATACTACAGGAAGTACTGCAGTTTTCATGAATGACCGTAATATTTTACCGTAATATAAGGGTCCCGTAAAGCTTATTTTCCCATCATGAATCCATTTCTGACTTTTTAAAGGCGCAGGAGCCTTCCGTAACTCAAAATAATGCTGTAAACGGCTATCCACTTCAAGACCTTTATCATGCTCCTTTAAAGGACTACCGACCAGACTATCAATCTCTACTGTGTTATGGAACTGTTATCAGAAGCTGGAACGGAAATGAAAAAAACTGATAAAAATTTTCTTATCACTGATTTGCCTCGTGGCTCTCCCAAACAACCAAAAGATCACGAACAAATACTTGCATCATTTTTCGTAAAATGTGATAGATTTTTTTCTCTTTTATTCGATCTTAATAAAAAGAGTGATTTTTTTCACCTATGGGTCAATTTCTTCTTAAAATTTTTTTCAATTTCGAAAATGCGATAAATTTCCAGAAAGATTAGTTTCAAAAAAATTGATATCATTTCCCAAGAATTTTAAACTTTTCCGGTCTTTTTTATCCATTTTTAGTCATTTTCATCAATCAGTATTGAAAAAAATTAGTTCTCTCTATGTTTCACCCTTTAATTTACTGGTCAAAACTAAAATTCTGGGTTACTGTAAAGATTCCCTCAAAGACCCGTTTTTTTGAGAACTATTGCTTTAATATTCTTGAACAGTTTATGGAGATTTTTAAAGTTTTCAAGTTTTATGACAGTCTAGCCGTGTTGAAAGCAATAGAAGAATGTCAAAATTCCAAGAATCATAAATAAAACTGAGAATTTACAGTTACCCTGCAATTTTCTCGAAAAATAGTGGTTAATCGACCATGTAATAATTCCCACTTCCCAAAAAAAAAGAAGAGAAACTCACCAAGAACAGCAACGAGGAGAAGCTTAGCGAGCATAGTCGAAGGACTATCTTATCGTCGCCCGAAGGACTCCTTAAGTAGTCCCTCGGTTCGATAACAGGCATTTCAGACGTCAATCGTCCGACAAATAGCCACCTGCTGCAGCTTATCGTACACCAATAAAAAAGAAAAGGCTCTAGGAAAAAAGAACATCCCGTTCTGGAAGGTTGGATGATCACGTAGTTCACTTATCAGTCCAGGTTCGTTTCTTCGAGATGTTTGATCGCAGAATAGAGTGTTCTGATAAATGATATGGAAGTTTGAATTTTCAAAAAAGTGTAAATCATGCTTCAGAAAAATAGAAAAGAAAAAATCTTGAACAAAATTAGAAAAAGTTTTTGAAAAAATAGCCGCCAATGGCTCAATTTCCCCGTTCTAATGATGAAAAACGGTTTATATATCAAGTTCTAGAAAAATGCATCATTAATCCCATCAAAACGGATCAACTCGTAAGAATTTGTGCACCCGACCTGAAACTACTTTGTTGCGAGTCTCTGAAAAATGAAAAACATTCTTTTAGCCAAATAGCCAAACATTATTTGAAATAATTACCCACTTTTTAATCTTTAACGCCAAATATGGGGTATAAAATTTTTTCCCATGTTTTTTTTCCAACTTCTGAAAACTTGTTAGAAAACGGGTGTAATTTGGGAAAACCTTCCTTTTCTCACCTTTGAAAAGCTTCTCGGTCTGACTAAGCGCTGAAGAAACGCTTATTTTTCGTCCCAGAGTCGTGAAAATGTTCTCGAACACTACAAACATCTTACTATATGCTATAATCACGCTATATTTTATTAAACTCTCTCATAATGCTGCGAAAATATTTTTGGGTTACGGTATGGAGCAAAAGTGTTCAAAAGCGGTGTGTACAACTTATGGTATTTTACTTTACGCGCATAACTTGTTTTCAGGAAATTTACAACAAAAAAAGCCTTTTTTTCCGTTTCTTTATTTGTTTTAAAGTAGTTTTTTTATTTCTTTTATAGTTAAATTTTTAGCTCGAATGAATTTCTCAGAATCCTCAAGTAAGGGGCCTATTTAGACGTTCAAATGAAATACTTCCGAATAGGAAAAAGAAAAGTAACTTATTTTTTCTCGAGTTTTTCAATCGCTTCAAAGACTCATGTGCTCGGCAGAGTTAAATAGTTCTGTTTTTGTTACTTCATTATCTCTTTTTTTAAAAAGATTATCGTGTATCTTTTTGTTTTCTTGATTTCATGTGATGACATTTTTCTATGCAACCTCAAATTATTTTTAATCAACTTTTTCAAACATATATGCACTTTCCAGATGTTGCGCTTTCCACTTTGGCTCACCATTCTCGGAAGATTATTTGAATATTTGAGGGAAACAGGTTTGTACAAAGTTTCAATTAAATTGTTCTGAAAAAAATGTTTTTAAAAAAATTGTTACTTTTGATTACGAAACTCCTAAAGCTTTGAAAACCCTCGCAAACATTTTTTAGCAGAATTTCGAAGGGAAGGAGGAAGTTTTTTATTTCTACCACTAGGTCTTCGCTCTAATGAGGGCTTGCGTTGATTTGAATCATAGAAATAGTGCATCAAAGAATATTTGGGCAATTTTCAAGGAAATTTTGCAAACCCTACGCGAAAATGATGAGTTTTGCGCCAAAGTTTTGGAAAAGTTTTTCAAAGATCTTTTTTTTTCAAGCTTGAGAAAGTTTTCTTGTGATTGAGGCTTACAAAATGTTACGATATTTCTTCGAAACTGTGCTTCTTTCCGTTTTCGTTCTTTTTCAAACCGCTCCCTCAAAATTGAATTTTGCTAGAAAGTTCTATGATCAACCTAAAAAAAAAGAATTGAACTAATTTTTCATCAAGACTTCCAACAACAGTTTATTCCTACTGCAAAAACAAAACGAAAATAGATTTTTTTTGCAGATTTTCCGTTCTCTGCAAATTTTTTCTTCCAGCTCGCTGGAAAATTACCACCTCAAAGATCCATGGCTTACGTATTTCTAATGTCAATATTAGGCTGAAATATTTTTGACCAAAATATGGTGATTCAGAGCCCCCGATGTGGTAATTATTTTTGAGAAGGAAGAAAAAAAACGTCTGAGGAACCTTTTTGTCTATTTTGTTTTTATTAAGAAATGGGAGGTTTCTAGAAAGTTTACTCTTTTTTCCGTTCATGGAATGTCAATTTCAAAATAATGATTAGGATCCGTCTCTATTTATGGACCTCGGAATTTCCGAATTCTGAAGCCCTAGGAACCAAGAAAAATCAAATTAATTCACTTTCCCAGTGAATCATGGCGCCTAGTCTTTTTCCAATAACTTTTGCTAAATTTCCATAAAAATGAGAGAAAATTTATGACGAATGGTACTAAAAGACGTGAACCTAATGTCGCTTTTTGCAAGGCTCTTTTTTTCTCAGGAAGTGAAATTTATTCATGAGAAAATAATACTAACGTTTGCGTTTTATTAAAATTTATCATAGAACGAGGTTTTGAGTGATTATTTTCGAATAGGTCTACCTTTTTTCTTTCGTTTTCAAAAAATTTAATTCATTTTCTCATGCAAAACTCTAGGCAAGGTTGGTAAATAGCTAAATATTTTGTTCTAAAAAAATATGCCCTGCGGCTATTCTTCCCATAACTTCCTGGTGCCTCTAATTTTCCCTCATCATGATTAATTCAAGAATAAACACGGAGTTTAAAGGAGCATGGATTATATTTGCGAGGTTTCGGGTTGATGGGAATTTAGTCTCAATCAACGGCCCAATGACCAGAAAAAGTTTGAAAATACATAGGCAAAGTCGGGAGGACCCTTTAGGGGCCCTTTGAGCGTCCGTTATGGATCAAAAGGTTCCCATTGATTGTTCCTAAACGGGTGGCAACGGTCCTTTCATCGGCCTCCATCCACCCTTTTTTGACCCTTTTGAGAAAAACTTTTAAATTGAGAATAATCTTTACCAGTGACTGTGTATGAACCAAAATGTACTACAGTAATACAATCGGAAATCATCATTAGCCAAGACTTTCAGCACCCTTTTTTCACCCTTTCTCCACCCTTTTCGCACATTTTCTCCATCCTTTTTGCCCCCTTTCTCCACCCTTTTTGCAGCCTTTCTCCATCCTTTTTGCACCCTTTCTCCACCATTTTTGCACCCTTTCTTCACCCTTTTTGCACCCTTTCTTCACCCTTTTTGCACCCTTTTCTTCACCCTTTTTGCACCCTTTCTCCATCCTTTTTGCCCCCTTTCTTCACCCTTTTTTACCCTTTTTTGAGGCTTTTTAGCCCACCAAGAAAGAAAGGCTCAATAAAAGCCGCAAAATGGCAACCTTTTAGCGGTCATTCTGCAGTCACTTCCTTTTTGCACCCGTTTTCCGTACTTCCGATTTTGGCAGTGTATGTCTAACTTGCCGAAATTTTAATTACTTTTTGCGTAATAAGTCTAATTTTAAATTTGTACTCTTCAGCTTAAAGACTTGATGATTGGAAAAGGACGAAAAATCCAATTTCAGTAGAATAATCATCGAGACCGTAAAACAAACATAAACTTTCTGCATGAAAAACGCACACTTTTCGTTTTTCCCACGTAATTTTTTTAATAATAATTTCATTTCCGGCGTGTATTTTTTTCATATGAGTAAGTGTTGCCATGAAAAAAATGTGAAGAACGAAAAAAACATTTTATTTCCAGTCGAATTATTTCGGGGGGATTCATCTCTGTTGCCACTACCAACAGTATTCTTCAGAGCCATTTCAAAATAATTCCTAATATATTTCATTTTTTTCCGAGAAAAAGGACTTATTAGTGAGCTCTAAATAAATTTATCGGACCTTCTAGAAAACAGGATAGCGGGGAAGTTTCTTGGCCCCGCCCCTTTCGTGAGATATTTTTTTCCTGGTTTTTTATTTCTCTTTCAGAAAGAGTGTAGTGATCAAGAGTTCGCTTCGGAACTGTAATTCAGTAGATTTTAGAGTTCTCATCAAACTTTTCGAGGGCTAGAAATCCTTTCCAGAATCTCGAAAACATTTTTCTCCATAATTTAAAGGCGCAGCATACCGTAATCCTTTGATTATTCTCCTATCTCAGCATCTCAAGAATGCACATAGTTTATCTTCTCAGTTTGCCATTATAAAAATCAGAAAGAAGACCTAATTCTCCACGAGTTAAAAACAGTCTAACATGCGCTCTTTTTTCTCTCCCCGGTGAAGTCATAGAAAAAGGAAAATAGCACGGAAAAATGAGATCACAGACAAGTTAACTTGACGCGATATATGGAAAATATTTTCATCGAAACCCTCAGAGTCCCCCTTTTCACTCTCTGAAGATTCGCTTCGAGACCCAGAATTCATAAAGTTTATATTTCTTATCCCAGAATCAGGTTTGAATACAACAATAATTTAAAGGCGCATCGGACCTCCTACCGTTTCTTCGTGAGACCCAAAACTTTTCAAATGAACTCGTCTTTGACGACTTTCGTCATCACTGTCTTATTTTGCAACGTTTTTGGAAATTTCGGCAATTTCCACATTGTTTATTTGACCGCAACAAAGCCGGATTTACGGAGCAAGTCTGGTGAGTTTGAGATAAATTTTTTTCGTAAGTCTTACATTTGAAAAAAAAAAATCAATATTCGAAAATTTAAAAATACATTTCTGACATATCATTTAAGCTCAAAAATGCCATTTTTTGCTGAATTTGATATCAAAATCTTCAAGTGAGTAGTTTTGCTTTTTCTTAAGGGCTTTTTAATGAAATCTAGAGACTACAGTAGCCTACAGTATGCCTAAAAACTACAGTATACCTATATGCCTCTAATTTTTCAATCTCAAAGCCAGAGTTTACGATTTTGAGTTCATTGTAAGGCAGTTTTCTTTCAAAAATTACAATTGAAAGAATTTTTCCTGAAAACTACAGTACTTCTACCGTAATCCTCAACATTTTCAGCTTTCCTGCAATGCATCGTCTCCGCTTGCCACTCGATTTGCCTGATTTTCCAAATTCCAAACGCCGTACTGTATCTCAACGACATCCAAATCACCCGTCGACAGTGTTTCTTCATGATCTCCCCGTTTCTCATCTCTCTCAATTTTCAATGCATTGTCATGCTGATGATGCTAGTCGATATAGCTGCAATGATCATTTTTCCGTTTCGGTAAGTTTTGCTGGGATCATACTGAGAAATAGCCTCGGAAAACTTGGTATTATTCGCTCCATGGCGAATTCTTTTTCAGAAGAAGACCTTCAGTGTGTATAATAAGCTTTTGGGGGATATTTTTAGAAGAAAGTTACTAAAAGCTCTCGAGTGCCTGCTTAAGTGATTTGCGATGATCATTTTTCCGTTTTAGGGAGTTTTTCGAGAGTCATACTGAAAAAAAGCCTCAGACAACTTGGTATTATGCGCTCCATGGCGATTTTTTTGAAAGAGGACTTTTAGTGTTTATAATAAGTTTTTGGGTGATAATTCTAGAAAAACTTTGGAAAAAAAAAACTTTTAAGTGCCTGCTTAGTGATCTGCGGTGATCATTTTTCCGTTTTAGGGAGTTTTTCGAGAGTCATACTGGAAAAATAGCCTCGGAAAAACTTGGTATTATGCGCTCCATGGCGATTTTTTTGAAAGAGGACTTTTTAGTGTTTATAATAAGCTTTTGAGGGGTATTTTTAGAAGAACTTTGTAAAAAAAAAGTTCTCAAGTGTCTGCTTAAGTAATCTGCGATGATCATTTTTCCGTTTTAATGAGTTTTTCGAGAATCATACTGAAAAATAGTCTCGGACAACTTGGTATTATGCGCTTCATGGCGATTTTTTTTTTTCAGAACAAGACCTTCAGTGTTTATAATAAGCTTTTGAATGATATTTTTAGAAGAAAGTTTCTAAAAGCTCTCAAGTGCCTACTTAAGTGATCACTTGATTTCATCTTATTCTTTGAGGGAAAAATGTAAAAAAGTTCAAAATTCAAATCATATCAACTTAGAGTTTCAGTGAAAGAGCCTACCCTTTGAAAATTGACCTTTCCCTTTTTTTATATGTTAATTTCCATTTTCAGCTATCGAAAGTTATCCAATACCACTTTTCTAACCACCGCTTCTATTGCACCGGCCGCCTTTACCATTTATTTCTATACGATTGGATTTTTGGCGATTGACGACGAAGTTCTGCCTTTCTGCACGGGACCCTTTGGTTATTCGATTTTATTGATACCTTTGAAATAATTTTCTAGAACCTTTACATCTACGGAGAAATATTCTAAATGATTCCGCAAAGTTCAAAACAGCCGTCAAAGAGTGAAAAAGATAACTAAATCTTGGAGAGTTAGAGATAGTTTTGAATATCGCGGAAACTTCTTTGAACAGGGCAATGGGCAATCAGAAAATTCTCTTGAGTCAAAAGGAGCTGAAAATTTTCTTTAAAATCTTTTAAAATGATAAAGTCTTTGAGCTCCTTTTTTCATAACCTCATTTTTGGATTTCGTGAATCTTTTCAGTTGCTTTTTAGTACCTTTTTATTGAGGGAACTGAAATGAAAAAGGTCTCTTACCGGTTAGGGATTCTTAGAAGGTCTTTTTAAAAAAAAAAAAGCCTTTCAGTAGCTTTCCCGTCTTGCCTTTTTGGGGGCCACTAGCATGCTCCCCTAGAGTGGCTGTTAACTGAAACCCTAGGGTGGACACTTTTGAAAGCTCTAGTGCTTCTATAGGGGGAGATGAGAGGAAAGTAGTTATCGCAACAAAAAAAAAAGAAACCTTTCTTTTAACAAGTCTAATTTGCTAGTTGACAATCTGAATTTCCAGCCATGCACCCGACTGTGAACAAAATCTGGTTGCCGTCTTTGCTCACAGTCAACACCATGATAGTTGTTCTCTACTTTTTCGTTTTCGCCTTACTTTATCATGTCGGTGAGTTCCATCATCGTTTTGTTATAGTCCGTCCGCCGCGACTTTCGCGTGTCTGCGTCTCTCTGTTCCCTCACCGGCGAGGTCATAGAAACGCGAAAATAGCGCGTCAACAATAGAGGGTCGTCGAGAGACGAGGAGCGCGCAGAGAAGTCCCGGCCTGTCAAGTCGCGAAAAGCGAACTGTATAGCCTATTCCGCAGCAGCTTCTAACGATTTTTAGTCTCTCATAGCTTTAAAGAACCCTTCCATTTGATGCCCGCACCCTGTATCTGTCCATGCGCCTTTAAAATAACCGAAATTTGAAGTTAAATTAAAGGCGCATGCACGGAAACATGCCGCACGCATCGAAGAGAAGGCTTCTTCAGCTCGGACGGCGCAGAATGGGCTCTAACTATCTTAATCAAATGATTTTTTTAAGGAAAAAAGCAAACTCTTCAAAAAGAGTGCCGCCGGGTCTCGAGAAGACTCAAAGTGATCCTTTTCATTTATATGGTATCCTGGTACCTGAGTATCTTCGGAGCCACTTTTTTAGCCCTTTTCTTCGAAGGCAGGGTTTTGGATTTCTTGAGAGTCAATATGGTGAGTTATTTTAAATGGTAAAGATGCTAAGTAATTTTTCTTCGAATCAAATCTTTCATTCTCAAAACATTTATAACGGTTTGAATCCGTATTTCTGGCTTTTTGAAGGTTTGACATAAAAAAATTTGCCTTTTTAGACTTGAGTCAGTAGATTTTAGCAACTCAGAAGTTGTATTTCTCGATTTTGATGAAAATTTTGCCAAGAACCGATTTTTCTTAGACAAAAATGAGGAGACATCAAAATTTCGCGTTTTTAACCTGATGAAAAATTCTTCATGAAATTTCTATATCCCTTTTCGAAATTCACTCAAGAGGTCACTTGACCGAGCATCTTTTTTTAAAAAATTTCGCAGTCTCAGTAGTTTTTTTTAAAAAGTTTGATTTAAAAATTTCACGTTTTTCACGTGGTCATTCTTCCAAAGTTGCTGAATCCACAGTTCTATAGGTTTCTGATAGTTTACAAATGATAGAAACTTGCGTTTTTATAGTGATCCAAAAGCTCCAGAACCAAGATTTAAAACTCGAAAATTTCAGTTTTTAAGAAATTTAAGCAAATGAGAAGCTTATAAATAAGCAGCGAAAGGAAGAAGCTTGATATTATAATTTTTTCTTTTGAAATTTTTATCCTAGTTGTCATCGACATAATGCTAAGTGATCTTTAAGTTTTCTAATATTTTTCACAGTATTTTTGATTTATTCTTAATATTTTCAAATCAATAAAAACTTCATTTTCTCACAAAAAGTCTCATTTTTCCAAATTACAGGCCTTCTTCATGGAGTTGTGCTTCCTCCAGTCCTTCTACGTCATCATGTGGAGATCCAAAGAGTATCGCCTGGCGTTTTTCAGCCTTTATCCTTGCTTTGATATGAACTACTTTTCTCCCGAAAGTACATCCAGAGTTATAGAGTCCAACAAGTCCAGCAGAAAACTCATCGATCCCGAAATAGAAACATTATTTTAGGCAAACAACTACCAATCAAGTATTCCTCCCGAGAAACACTGTCGGACCGACCATTATCAGATAGTTTCAAGTCATATCATTTTTTGTTTCGAATATATATATTCACCGCTCAAACCCTACTCTCAACGCTCCAAGAGCCAACTTTCATGCAGGAACCCTCAACGAAACGGAATAAAATTACGTGATTTATTTTAATAAGACAGCATTCTACACCGAGAACATTATTATAAAAACAAACAAGAAAAAGTAAATTAAATTAAAAGCAATTCAAGATCATGAAATCCGAGGAGCGAGAGACAAACGCCAACCTCATCACCGTAACACGAACGTCGCAAAACTTCACAACGATCTTCAGAGAAAACAAAAGTGGCAAAAGAGTAAACTGGGGATTTCGTGAAGATTCGCGGATGCAGAAAAAAAAAAGTAATTGAATAAATAATGTAGAATGAAGAGACAACTGATGAGAAAAAGAACGTGCGACAAATTCAAGCTTTCGTCTCGACCTTGCCCTCTTCCTCTTCTTCGTTATCTTCGAGCTCGGGCATATCTGAACATTTTTGATTCAAAATTGAAGTTTGATGTTATTCTAACCGTCTTCATCGTCTAATCCGTCGAAGTCAGCGCCGCCGCCGCCTGGGTTCAACTGGGACATGTACTGGCTAAGGTCAAAGCCGTTGCCCATTCCGCCACCGCCACCCATGGCGCCTCCCATTCCGGCGTCCATTCCACCGAAGTCGTCGGCTTCTTCGTCATCCTCGTCTTTCCACTTGGAGAAATCGACTTTCAACCAATGGACCTGAATTTTTCGTTTACTCCTTATAATCTTCATCAAAAAAAAACCTTTCCCTTCTCTTTCAAAAGGCGTGGCCACCATTTCGGCTCTTTCTTCTGGATCGTCAGCTCAACGACACGAGTGTTCGTATCGATTCGCTTGACGCTTTCGGGCTGAAATATTCAATATAATTACAACGAACAAAATCCCTTTTCTTACATCAATTTCTTCGAAGAACTCTAACGTCGTTTCGTACTTGTCGGTCTTGCTGCTTCCACTAAACATGAACCAAATCAATTCATTCATAGTTTTTTTTTAATAATTTATTTACCGCAGACTACATATAAAAACTAGACTTATTTCGTGAACTTTGCTCTTTTTTTCCCACCAGATGATTCAGAAATATTTTTCATTCATGTACAACAAAAATCACAAGCTAAAAGACAATACTACAAAATTAATCGTAGCCGTGTGAAAATCTACACCAAAAACTCTGGTGGGCCGAAGAAAATATCAGCGAAAGAACAGAAATCTTTTAAAAAAAGGGAAGTTTGCGAAATTGAAAAAAAAAACTTACGCAAAGTGGAGCTTCGATGGCTCAGCTTTCAAGTCGTCGACTTTAGCCTCATCGACCTCAATGGTAACGTAGAGGAAAGTTTCCCGTTGTGCCCACAGAACTGAAGGTTGTTTCGCCATCTGGAAGCATTTTTTTTTAATTCACAGAGAAGGAGCGAAAAAAATTTACAAGGAAAAACACGATGAAAGAAGCCAAAACCGGAGAATGATGACAAAAAAGTAATGAGCGGTTGAAAATATTTGAATTTAAATTTCCCACACTTTTTCGAGAAATCGATAGATTGGCATATGAGTAAATCTTCAACAGAATCCTTACTAGCCCTTTCAAAAACTCAAAATAGTTTAATTAACTATATATGGATGACAAATAAAATACAATACAAAAACAGAACCAAGAAATTCAAACGCTGAAATGCCGTTTCGGGAAATATCCGCTCACCCCAATGAAAGTTTTATTTGCGCGACTCGCCCTGCGCCTTTAAGATTATTTTTTGACACGTTGCCAATTTTGCAACTTTTATTTATTTTTTTAAATTTTAAATTTTAAAATCAATTTCTATTTGATGGGATATTGTTTTTCTTACAGATGCTGAGCATCTCCTGGCTTTTCACGTCTTTAAACCACCAGCAAGGGAAGCGAGGCCTTGCTGCAGCCGTCGCATGTTTAGCATGCGTCGGTATTCTTGCTTATTGCGTTTCAGCTAGTCATTCGATAGGTAATCTTGGATAAAAGTATAATTTTAATAAATCCTGATCGATTTCAGTGTTGATGTCAGCGATGTGGATAACAATTTTTGCGTTTTGTTCGGTGTTAGCCTCGTTATATTCAATGTCAATAACGAACAAGCCGATGGATAAGTTTAGTTATGGGCTAGCTAGAGTTCCTGTACTTGCAGTCTTTAGTACAACGGTGGGGTTGTTGAAAGTTTTCTGAAAAAGTCTTTTTTGCAGGTTTTGGCTCAGTTGTTTTCAATCTTTCTCTCGAAAGAGTCATTCGAACATTTGCTGGCTCCAGATCACCATGGAACTCATGACGCTTCCGCCGCTCATGAACATGAAGCTGAAGCTATTGGTAGTTGAAAAAGTTGAGGGAAGAAAAACTATCAGAGTTATTTTCAGGCGGTTGGCCTTACTTTTTCGGCGCGATCGCCTCGTCAGTCGCTCTTCTTCTTTCAGCATATGCTTTGAAAAATCAACCATTTCAGCATGTTTTGACTGCTGCGAGTAGTTCGAGTCTTCAGGTGGTTATTGAAATCGAGAAAGTGTTTATTTTTGTCTGTTTTTCTAGACTTTATGAGTCTTTCCGTTCAAAAATGAAGTTTTGTTCGAATTTTTGAAATCTCTGATTTTATTCCGGTGTATATATATTTTAGTTTTAGAAGTTATTTGAGGTTAGAGGAAACTGAGCCAAAGTATAATAATGTGAGCCACTACTTTATGGCAAAGATAAACTTTTTTTTTCGAAACTGTCTGAATTTTCAATAGTCTCTAGTTCAAAAAAGGTCTAAAGTTGATTCAATTGAAGCCAATATCGGATGTTTCATGTATTTTTGTGCCATATATATTAAATAATAGTTCAGGAACACGCGGCCGACCTGAGCCATGCCGTTTGTTGGGCGGTCCCCGGCCTCTCCCGGCTCCTTTTGCCTCGAATCAACTCGATGGTTCTTCTGGCAGCAACCTCGAGCTTTTTATTGCTTCTTTGTGAACATTTCAAGTGATTTCAAAACATTATTTCATGCTTTAATATTTTTCTAGGCACGATTTTGCCTGGGCTGATCCAGTCTGTTGCCTCATTTTATCGGTCGCTGTTTTCTCGACGATGTGGCCTTTGTCAACGTATACTGGAATGATTTTACTTCAAACCACTCCGCCTCATCTTATCAATCAAATTGACAGGTTTTTTTTTAATTTATAGATGCTAAAATGTGCTTCAGATATCACTTGAAAACGATTTTTTGTTCAATTTTATCGCTTGAGATTTGTTTTTTGGCGTTTCAAAGCAGAGAATGTTAAATTTCGAGTACCTTTCATCTCTAATGAGAAATTCGAGTAGAAAATCTTTAAATTTTTTTTTTCTTGGGTTTTGAAAGAATAATTTTTTCTCCCGTTCGAATTTCAATTTTCGAGATTTTTTTAGTGCTAAATTTTCTTCAAGAATGCTGAAAAGACGGGTTTTCATTATTATTTTTTTGGTTTGAGAGCCCTTTTTGACAATTTTTGAAATAAAGAATGTTAACTTTTTTTCGAGAATTTTTTACCTAGTATAAGAAATTTGAGTAGAAAAATTTTTCATATTACTTTTCTTTCCTGTAGTTAGAAAACGTCGTGGGAGAATATTTTCAGCTGTTCGAATTTTAATTTCATTTTTTTAAAAAAATTTGAAAAAAATAGTTGTTCATTTTTTTATCTTGATGATGAATAGGCAGATTGGCATTGAAATTCTTTTTTTATTCTGAATTTTTTTGAAGTTTCGATCTAAAAAAACAAAAAAATTAAATATCTCTGACAGCAAATCACGTTTTAAATTGAGCCGTTCCTAATCTTTTCAAGGAATTATCAGAATTTATCAACTGTTTTTTACCTTCTCGATGTATTTCAGATGTATATCTGAAGCATCGACGGTCGATGGAGTTTTGGAGCTAAAGTCAGGAAGATTTTGGCAGCTGGATTTCAACCAATTGGTCGGGAGTGTGGACGTGAGGGTTCGACGGGACGCCGACGAGCAGAATGTCCTGGCTCTGGTCACCGAGAAGCTTTCCTCGGTTATCAGTGTCCTCACCGTTCAGGTTAGTATAGATAATGCTTTCCACCATTTTCAGTATCTTAGACCTGGTTTTCGAGAAAATTGTTAGTTGCCACTTTAGGGTTTTGACGTTTTAGGGGTCACTATAGTTGTCAAATTAGTGGCCTCTCTAGAAGACTATTTAGTATTACTAGATCTTCAAAACGACTATAGTGGCTTCTATAAGGGCGGTTTTAGTGACCATTTCAGGGTTTCGATATTTTAGTGACCGCTGAAGTGGTCGAGTTAGTGGCCACTATAGTGTAATTTCCAACGTGTCCTTGAGGAAACACTAAAGTGGTCCCTCGAATTTTTCCTATCTTCTCTTTGATGCGCGCTTTTTGAAGGCGTATTCACAGAAAGAGAAGCCATGCGCTTCGAAGAAAAATGGTCTTGTCATTCGAATGAAAAATGTGAAAAACATAATTTTTCCTGTTTTTCAAATTTAATTTTTTTATTTTTACTAGGCATATCTTATTCTGTGATTATCACATAGCTTTTTTTCAAGAACATGTTTCAGTGAAATGATTTGCAAAAACTTTTTAATTTCAAATTTATTAATTAGAATTCTGCTCGAATTTTTTTGAAATTTCGAGCACTAGAAACCTTTGACAAAGAAGGTCATTTCACTTTGCGTTTGGGAATTTCCTGAAATTCGGTTAGAAGTCAGCAATCATAGAAGTACCAAAAAAGATTACGAGAGCTCTAAACTACCCAAATCCCTACTTTTTTGGTGGTATGAAAAAAAGACCAGCGAAAACTTGAACGGCGACTTTTCCGCTTTTTCTATATCGCTAGGGAACTTTCCGGCGAATCTCTTTCCAACTTTTTTTTCTTTATATTTTTCGGTTTTTAAAAGATCTATATATTAACATTTTTTGTCCTATTTTTTGTTTTGTTTTAATCATGAACCAATTACCTACTTTATATAGGAAGATTTAAAACGAGCAGTTTATCGAGAAAAAAAGTCGGAAAAGGATTCGTCGGAAACTTCTCCGTCCGAAAGCTCCCTAGTGATATGAAAAAATCAGAAAAGTCGCCGTTCGAATTTTCGCTGGCATTTTTTTCATACCACCATTTTTTTTAAAGTAAGAACGTTTTAAAACCCAAAGAGAACCTCAAAACCCACAAAATAGGCTATTTTAGGTCTTTGAGCCCACATTATTCAAAAACTGGAACTTTGTGCAGATTAAGGATCTTTATAGGTACACATTTTAAGAAATTCCCTATTTTTTTATGGATTCTTCCTCCAATTCCAATATTTTTCCAGGTTGTGAAAGACGCCGCTTGGTCGGCTCAGGATCAATACAGCGGAGGATCTGTTTCTTCTTTCTCTAATTTCAAGGTTTTTGTTGATTTAGATTTTTTAGTCTTATGTCATTTTTCAGGAAACTTCCCACGGTCATAGCCATGGCGGTGACGGAAACTGCGAAAGTGATCATGGTTGGTTTTTTTTATTAATGGAAAATTATCTGTTTAGCTTTATTTGGGCTTTTATATGACTTTCCAGTTTACTAGGGTTTTTTTTTTCATTCGGCACTTTGAATAGAAGACTCGTTTTTGTTAAAAATTTTCCTTAAGAGGAACATTTTTATCTGTCAAATGAAGGGATTGTCTGGTTTCTGGTAAAAACCCTCAAGTTAACACTCTGGCTTTTTTTTGATTTTAGAAACTGTTCGTCTTATGAATTTACCAAAGTTTTCGATCTTTCAGAATATTTTTCCGTAGTTCATAAGACTAATACCTTATGGTAGGTGAAACGAAAGATTATCCATTTTTTTCGGGAATTCATCATTTTCGGCTGTTATGTACTTTATTAGAAAAGATACAGTGATTAATCGAGAATTATTCATTTGATCGTCAGATTGACTAGATGTTTTTTTACTGTTTCTGAGAAATAATTTAATACTTTAATTTTTTTGTTTTTTTGGACAGTCTATGACGCACAGTGTTCCAAAAAGAGACGGCGGTAAGCGAAAAAGGTCGTCGCAATGGGGCGAAAACGCGAGTTTTTTTCTAACGCAACGCGGTGCGGCGCGTGTCACCCCCACAAAATTTCATTCACTTTTAATACGGTTTTTTTCTCTTTTTTCTTGCGTATTTTACCATTCTTTCGTATTTTTTTCACGCTGTATGTGTTCTTAAAACGTGTTTATCGCGTTTTTCCAGAGATTTGAAGTGATTTTTCGATTGTTCTCGTCACAGAAATTTGCATTAAAATGACATTTTTTTGATGACAACTTATTTCGCATAAGATATTTCGTTTGTTTTTTTGTTTTAGAATTTTTCAAATGGACTTTCTTAAGAGAAACGCTGTGAGATTTTTTTCTCAAAAATTTTTCGAGGCAGTATTCGACGAATTTATTCGTCATTTTTGGGTGACAACTTTATTCGTACAAGCTATTATGTATCTGTTTTTTTGTTTTTGAAACGTTCAAGTGGTATTTCTTAAGAGAAGTGCTGTGAGCTTTTGTCTCACTTTTTTTCCCTTTGGAAGTTCGATTTGACGAGTTTTTCCTAAAAAAACGACATTTTTGGGAGATATTTTGTTTTGCAAAAAAACTTTTTTTCGTCTCTTTCTTCATTTAAATTTGTTCGTTATAATTATATACACATTAAAAAAATCTTCGAAAAACTTGCGATAGCCTAGGAAAAAAACATCATTTAATGGTCTTTTTCCAACCACTAAATCCACAAAAACTTGACTCTCATTCCCGCGCCCCTATTGCAATAAACCGTGCCGCTGTTGCAGTCAGCCACGCCTACTGACCACAGCTGCCGCTCGTTTGGGAACACTGTGTGACGTTATTGTGGAGAGGAACAGAAAAGTTGATCATTCAGCAAAATGTTTTTCGAGCGCAGAAAATTAGCGCTTCAAGAGTTCACTTAGGGCACTGGAAAATTCTTTAGTGAGCTTTCAATACTCTTGAAAACACGGTTCAAAAAAGAAATCTCTTCTAAAAATGACGTTTTTCTTTCCTTTCAGTGTTTTATTAGTGATTTTTTTCATTCCTGCTGATTTCAATATATACAAAAGAGTTGGATTTTTTTTGTGTTGGAGTGTGAAAATTTATTCTAGGTTTGGATCTTCGAAAGTTAGAGAGCATTCAAAAAATGAGAGGGTAGACTTTTTTTTTCTCTAACCTTTTGTTTACAAGTGCTCTCTAACTTTCAAAGGTTTGAGCGAATCTAAGAACTCATCCACAGGGAAGAATTTGTGACTTTTGAGATCAATTTTCTAAGATAATTTCACTATTCTGAATTTTTCTAGGCCACGACCACCACCATGATGACGGCCACGGCCATAGTCATGACCATGGCTCTCATGGACACTCTCACGACAACGAAAGTCATCATAATCATAATCCTCAACAAATCCTGAACAACTACAATGCTCCGCCGCCGCCTCAGGCCTATTATCAGCCGGTTCCGACGATCCCCACAGCTTATCAATATCCTCCGCAACCTGTGAATGACCACGGCCACAGCCATGGATCTCATGGCTCCCATGGACATAGTCATGACGGAGTTATTTATCATTAGAGCTAGATTGTTTCCTTTGTTTCTTTGTTTATTTGAATATTTTAAAGTTAGATAATGCTTCTTCTTCTGGCTGGGAATATCCAGAAAATCATTTTTTGATATAGTCCGTCCGTGACAGTTTTCGCATTTCTCCCTCACCGGCGAGAGAAACATGGAAATAGCACGTGAACATGAGAGAGACAAGGAGGACGTAGAGCCCTGAGCTTTCAAGCTCAAAAATTAATCTTTGATCCTCAATTGATTTGGATATGAATCTTGGTTTGTAAGAGAGTTCACCAGTTTAAACTGAACGTTTTTTGGAGGCTTTAGAGAAAATGTGCCAAAATTAGTCATTAGATTTTAGGAGCTTAGAAGTTATATTTCTCGATTTTGATGGAAAATTTACTTAAGAATCCGGTTTTCTTGTTATAAAAAATGATGAGAAATCAAAAAAGCTCGAGTTCTTATTCTGATAAAAATATAATTCATGATATTTTCATGTCCCTTAAGTGGCTGTTTTCGAAATTCACTCAAGAGGTCACTTGACCGAACTTCTCCCTCTTTTTTGTCTGTTTCAATAGTTGTTTTTAAAAACTAATTCAAAAATCTCACGTTTTTCACGTGGTCGATCTTCCAAGTTGCTGAATCCACAGTTCTATAGGTTTCTGATAATTTACAAATGATGGAAACTTGCGTTTTTTAGTGATCCATAAGCCCTCCAACCTAGATTTAAAAACTCGAAAATTTCAGTTTTTAAGAAATTTAAGCAAATGAGAAGCTTAAAAGCAGCGAGAGGAAGAAGCTTGATATTATCATTTTTTCTTTGAGATTGTTATCCTAGTTGTCATCGACATAATGCTAAGTAATCATATAAAAACGCCTTTTAATGATTTATTCCTAATATTTTTCACAGTATTTTTGATTTATTCTTTATTTTCTCTCATCATAAAGCCAAAAAAACCTCTTTCTTCATTCTTTAACTATTTATTTTCCGTTGTTTATTTATTTATCTTTGAAAAATGTGATTTCTTGTCCCATTCCCATCGATCAATATTGCATGTTCTAGTCGTTTGATTTTTTTTTCTTCGTTATTGTTGTTTCTTTCCTTTCCTAGATGTGATAATGCGGCTTATCGTGATAATTTTTCCTAAATTACGAATCATCTGAATGATTTATACGGTTATGGGTGCTCCTTCTCCTGTCTTTTTCCCCGTTCTTCTTTGTCCTTTCAATAAAGTTTTATTACTTTTTTTTCTCGGGAAAATAGACTGGATTGGCTCTTTCCTACTGGATTCCTAGATTTTCAGTAGATTTCATTTTGAATTATTTTGAAATTTCGAAAGATGTTCCGTGTCGGCGCACGTTTCGTGCACACGCCGGCGGCTCGAAAAGCCCTGATTGAGAAAATTATTCGAGTCGATCATGCCGGTGAACTCGGCGCTGATCGCATTTATGCCGGACAAATGGCCGTTTTAGGAGGTTCGTAAAAAACGAGCATTTTTTCGGTGTTACTTCCACTGTACTGTGAAAACGGGCCGAGGGGTTGTGTAGGCTCTCGCGCCGTCTGACTCTCGTGGCTTCCGTAGCGCAGTAGGCAGCGCGTCAGTCTCATAATCTGAAGGTCGTGAGTTCGATCCTCACCGGGAGCAATCACATTTTTGCACTTCTTTTCGGTGGTTTTATGGTCTGTTTTTTAGATTGAAGAGTTCTTTTTTGTGTTTTGTTAAGTTTTTTATAGAAAATGCCTTAAAAAATTTCTAACCTTTCCTTTTCACCTTTTATTGTCGTATTGGACTTGAAATTTGATCTTTTTTGTTTGGGATTAATGATAAAGATGAAAAAAATATTTTTGAGATTCCGAGTTGAAAGTCTTCGAAAATAGTGTAAAAAAACGTAATTTTTATATATATTTTTAATTGAAAACAAGAAACAATAAAATGCTGATTTTTCATCATTTGGACAGATAACTCAATATTTATTGCTTCACAACGTCTGTTCGAACGTTAAATACCCACTTTTTTTAATTGTTACCTGAAAAAAATTTCCACTGGAAAAATAATACATATTGTACGCTGATTACAGAAAAAGTAAGAAAAAACAGAAAAAGAGCTTTTTTCAAATTTTTTTTTTCAATTTTATCAATTCTTCTACATTTTTGATCAATTTTTCCCAGGTTCCTCGGTCGGGTCCATCATCAAAAAGATGTGGGAAGAGGAAAAAGAACACCTGGATACGATGGAACGGCTCGCCGTCCAGAATAATGTCCCACATACCGTTTTTGCGCCGATTTTCAGTGTCGCCGCCTTTGCTTTGGGTTGGTTTTGAATGGAGTTTTGCAAAATTGCCACTTTTAAGGTTTATAGTGGTCCTTTTTATTGTTTTTATTTGAAATTAGGGTTTTCCTGTTATTTTTCAATCGAAAACCTGAGCTTTTCTGATTTTTCACAAGCTTTTTACGTTAGAACTCTATTGTGAGAGTGTTAATTTTCATTACTGTTTCAAAGTATAAGTATAAATTTTGGAGTGAGAGCTTATTTTTGTTTTTTTGTATGTATGGTAGGGTATATTGCCGACTCATTGGGACGAGGGGGCGTGGCCTGTCTGCGCTCTCCATTAACCAGGCACTGTCTCTTTTCTGATCGTGTCAGGACCCCTTTTTTTCGATGGTTCAAGCCAGCCGTGTACCAGCTGTATTAGGAAAAATTAATCACATTTTTTTATGATTTGTTCCGAATTTGATTAATTGGTTTTTTTATTAAATATTAAGGCTTTTTTTGGTGTTTCTAACCCTTTTTTTACCTTTATATTGGTTCGGATTTTTTTAAAAATAAAATAAAATATATATAGACCCAAAACTTTTTCATAGTTTCGATCTTATTTAAGGATTTTTATTGTTGAGTTCGTGATTTTAAAACCTTTTTGAGTTGAAAAAAATTTGTGAAAGCATTTTTGAAGCTGAAAATTGAAGGGTTTTCTGGTTGAAAATCGATTTTTTTACCAAAAAAATTTCAAATTTTATGGTCTTTATTTAATAGTTTTTTTACTTGAACAGAAAATTTTTTTATGATTGAAAGACGTAAATTGATCGATTTTTTTGGCCAAATAAAAAAATTATCGAGTTTTGAGTTTTTTGTGCTTCAAGCCGTTTTCAAAATATTTTTTTACAACCGAAAATCAAAAATTTTTCTCTGACTCTCCACAATCCTGTTATCTTTATCACTCTCTGATCTTCTTTTAGAGAGCCGAAATTATTCTGAACATGGTGTAGTATAGATAATTGAAATCCTTGAAAACAAGAGAAGTCATTTTTTATATAGGGGCTGGAACGGCAATGTTGGGTAAGGAGGGCGCGATGGCGTGTACGGTGGCCGTCGAAGAACTCATCGGCCGACATTACAATGACCAGTTGAAAGGTGACATGGAGGCTTTTAAAGTGCGACAGTTTGAAAATATTGTAAATAGCTGGGAAAAAAGATTCTAGAGGAAGAAAATGCTTTTGAAAAGCGCGTCATAAATATTGAAACGAGTTTTTGAAGCTTACTTTTGGATTTTTTCTGAACGGTTTCAGAAAAGGGGAGATCAAACTTGAATATTCCCATTATTTTTAATTTCATAAAATTTAAGGAAACTGTTGCGAAAAAAAGCAAATAAATATATTTTAAATGTGCGTCATAAATATTGAAACAAGGTTTTGAAGCTTGAATTTTCTGATGTTTTTCAAGAAAGTTTGTAAAGTTGGAGATCAAACTTGAATATTCTGACTTTTTTTGAAAAAAAGCTCATAAAAATACAAGAAATTAGCTGAGAAAAAGCAAGAAAAACGCACTGGAAAAAGTGCGTCATAAATATTGATACGAGTTGTAAATTCTTTTGAATTTTTTTCTGAGAGGGTTCAGAAAATTGGAGATCAAACTTAAATTTTTTTCTTTTTAATTTTATAAATTTCAAAGAAATAGTTTAGAAAAACGCAAAAAAATGCATTATAAATGTGCGTCATAAATATTGAAACAAGGTTTTTTGAAACTTGGATTTTTCTGATTTTGTATGAGAAAGTCTAGAAAAATTGAAGATCAAGCTTGAATATTCTAATTTTTTTCTTTTTTTAAAAAAAGTTCATAGAATTCAAAAAGTTTGCTGAGGAAAAGGAAAAAAAAAATGCATTATAAGTGTGCGTCATAAATATTGAAACGAATTTGTGAAACTTGAATTTCTGATTTTTTTTTCTAAAAAAGTCCCAATAATCGGCAAAAATAGCTGGAAGAAGCTTCGTTTCAAAAGAATTCTTCTCAAAAAGTTGCGTTATAAATATTGCCCACATTTGCATTTTCTTGACCTTTCTTTGAAAATGAGACAATTTTTCGGCTTCAGAACTTCTGGAGGACGATCCAGAAGCCCACAAAGAACTTCTGAAGACGTTGACGAGGTTAAGAGACGAAGAGCTTCATCACCACGACACTGGACTCGAAAACGACGCCTTGAAGGTCGGGAAATTGAAGATTTGTCCGTGGAGCGCACTTGCTTTTGAACTTTTTTAGGGAAATCTTTTGTGGCCCTTAAGAGGTTCCTCATGGACTATTTTAAGAGGACACTAAAGCCTTCGATTTTAGTCATTGATCCCATATATCAAGACATCTCAAGAAAAGAAGAAAATTCAGGCGCCCATGTACGACGCGCTGAAGTTTGTGATTCAGCTGGGTTGCAAAGGCGCCATCAAAATCGCCGAGAAACTTTGAATCCCACATTTTTTTCATCCTTTTTTCATTCGCCCTGTAAATAGATACCTTAGCGGAACGAGTTTATCGATCGATGTGGAAATACACACAAGAAAATGAAGAAAGAACACGAAAAAAAAGCGGGCAGGCAGCGGCGGCGGCGAGGGAAAAAGTTTTATTCGAAAATTATTTAATAATCTCGATTTTTTCACTATCTGTTATTAGTTAGGCGGGGACATAATTAGTTGGTTTTGTATCGGTGTTGAAATGGGCAAGACGGTTAATATTCGTCGCCTTCTTCGCCGTTGTCTTCGATGCTGTCGACGCCGACCTGGAAGCTCAGAAATTTATTATTTGAAACATTTTAAAAGGCTTTGAATAGTAGAACTGGTACGCTCAATGGAAATATCATGAACTGAAAATGCGGACCTCACTAACGCCGCCCCATTTATGAGGACTCTTTAGTGACCACTTAAGCGGCGTCAAAAGCCTTAAGAGATCACATGATCTTTACTCTTTAGCGACGTCAAAATCCTCCTTAAGTGATCACTTGAAATACTAGAAACGTCCGGTTTGCGCCACCGGGGTCCGAGAAACTAGCAAAAATCAAGAAAATGCGAGGTTTGTCAATAGAGCACACTTTCAACATTATTGGCGGACCATTCTTCCCCTTCGAAGTATATTTTTAACAGCTGGGAAGTTGAAAATTTTGTTAAGACATTTTTTTGAGAAATGCCGATTTTTGGACATCAATTTCGAGGAAATCATTTGAATTCTTTCAATTGAAAAAGAAAATTTAGGAAAAATACCATGAAATTGACAAAAAAAAAATGGAAGAATGAGAAGGTTTCGAATTTTGTCGATGGAGCGCACTTTCAAAGTTTTTTGCGTTTTTTTCTTTTCGAAGTATTTTTTTAACAGTTGCTAGAAGGGGAAGTGAAATTTTCTTGAATAATGAGATTTTCGTACGTTTATTACACACTGATAGGAAACTTTTGATTTCTTGAACTGTAAAAAAAAGAAAATATTCTTTACTTGACTAGAAATTAGAAAAAAAGGGCGAGGAAGTCTCGAATTTGTCAATAGAGCGCACTTTCAACATCGATAAGGGCTTATTTTTTTTCACCAAGACTCATTTATTTTGACTGCTTGAATGTAGAACGAATGTAAAGCATAGAGATTGAAAAAGGAGGAATCGGAAAGTTTCTGAAGATTTCATCAAACGTGAGGTTTTTGGGAATTTTTGAATCTATATACTTGTAAAAAAATTCTCAATTTGACTGAAAAAAATTGGAAAAAACAAGGAATTTTCGAATCTGTCAATAGAGCGCACTTTCAACGTTCTTGACCACTTTTGGGTTTAATTTTAACTTCAAAGTTTTTCTTTGAACTGCTTTAACGTAGAGGATGGGAAAGATGAAAAATTGCTGAAAAAATCTCTTAATCTAGATATTTTTGGTATTCAGTTTAGTACTATTTGGAGGTTTTAAAATTATTCAATTGTAAAAAAACTTTTTTGAATGGGATTCAAATTTTCTTTATACCTTTTGACCCGATTTTTGAATTTTTTACACTTCTCATCAAGTTTTGAGCCAGGACTGACCTCTTCATAGTCCTTCTCCAAGGCGGCGAGGTCCTCACGAGCCTCGCTGAACTCTCCTTCCTCCATTCCTTCTCCGACGTACCTTTATTGAATATTTACCTTATTTTATTGAAGAAATGACTAACCAATGAACGAAGGCTCTCTTAGCGTACATCAAGTCGAATTTGTGGTCCAAGCGGGCCCAAGCTTCGGCGATGGCCGTAGTGTTGGACAACATGCAAACGGCGCGCGGGACTTTTGCCAAATCGCCACCTGGGACTACGGTTGGCGGCTGGTAGTTGATGCCGACCTGTGGATTGGGACTTGAATAGCGGAATTTGAGATTGGATAAAAGAATGGGAGCTTTTTCTGGGTTTGAGCCAAAAAAAAGGAGATCTCTTTAAATTTATCTGAGCAATGTCCCATTTTACCCAAACTTTCAAATAAAAGAATTTTTTCGTTTTTTTGTGAATTTAAAAAAAGTCACCTAGAAAAAAAGATCAGTAAAAAAATAAAAATCAATCCTTAAAAAAATAAAATTTTTCCGTCAATTAAGGTCAAAAGACTATGGGAATTGCTTATTTTTTTAAGATAGTAGGATGGATTTTTTTCCGAGTATTTTTTTATTCACGCAAAAAAACCTATTTTTGATCTGGAAAGTGGAAAAAAACATCTCGTTTCAACCAAAAAAATTCGAAAGACTGATTTTTTTCGATTTGAAATTTTTTTATAAGGGCTGAATTTTAGTTCTTGAGTCATTGGAAGAATTATCATTCGTTACTAAGATTTTTTTGAAAATTGAAAGTTTTTTTGGAAACGGTAAAGTCGCCTAACTATGTATTTTTCCGTGAGTTTGAAAAAAATTCCTCTTGGAAAAAGAGCAGTCAAGATAAAATCTTGAGGGGGTTTTTGGATTTTTTTAAAATAATTAAAAACCAAAGGATGGCTTAATGACTATTTTGGTTCTGAGACATTAGAGAAAGATTTTCCAAAGTTATGCGGTCGGTGGGAAAATTTTCAAACGATCGATTTTCCGGGGATTTACCTTGAAGCCGGTAGGGCACCAGTCGACGAATTGAATGCTTCTTTTGGTTTTAATCGTGGCGATAGCTGCATTAACGTCTTTTGGCACAACATCGCCACGGAAAAGTAGACAAACGGCCTGAAAATAGTAACTCAAAAGACGAAAAGATGATTTAATAATTGATTCTGTAGGCTTTTTCGATTCGATAATGCCCGAAAATGGACCTTAGTTTCATTTTATTGAAGAAGATCGACATATAAACTATTTGAGACGAGTTTTAAACCGTCTGACCTGTCTGCGTTCTCTTTTCCCTCACCATCAAATTTTTTTAAGGTCTTAATTTTAGTTCTCGAGCATTAATCGTTACCAAGATTTTTGAAATTTGATAGTTTTTGGAAACAGAAAAATCGGCTAACCATGTATTTTTCCGTGTCTGGGGTCACATTTCACCATTTGGTTGTTTGGCTCGAAGCACCTGGAAAATGGTTATTTTCTAAATATTCCCTCGATTTTTCAAGTTTTTTTCTTTTTTTAAATTGAGCAGTTTTTCTAAAGTCTTTATTAAATATAGAAATTTGTAAATTTTTTTCTAGCGTTAATAATCATTTTTTTAAGTTTTTTTCTAATAGGAAAGTTCAGGCAAATCTCATAAATTCATAATTTTTTTGAGCAAGAAACTTTTTTTGTGCTTTATATATTGATTTTTCTTCTCTTGAAATGGTTTTTATCATAAAATTAAAGCTTGATTTTTTTCATTTTTGAGCTAAATATAATTTTTAATTTTATTTAGATACTTTTTTTGTTTGAAATTCATGCTAATAACCGTAAATTGAATATTTATTATCATTTTGAAAACAATAGCCATCAAAACTATAAAAGAAAACTTTATTTTCATTTTGAAACTGGTTTGAAACAGGAAAAAAACTAAGGTTGAAAACTTTTTTCTAGTTCAAAATTTTGGGCTTGAGGGCCTCAAGTGCCAATTTTTTCTTTCTTTTTTTTGTACATGTTATTTTTGTTCTGCCTGTGAATAAATAATATTATTAATTTGAAAAAAAACTCACATATTGGTGATTTCGGCGACGGAAAGTTGCTCGTGGTAGGCTTTTTCGGCCGAAATCACCGGCGAAAATGTGGCCAACGGGAAATGAATCCGGGGGTACGGTACGAGATTGGTCTGCAATAATGACCGAGGATGATATTTGTATGCTTAGGAACTCCAGAGGGGTCCCTATAGGGGCAATCTTAGGAGCTCTTGGAGGAAACCCTATAGGGGCCACTGAAGCTTTAAGGGTTGAGAAGTCAGACCCTGAACCCCTCTAGGGATCACCTTGATTTTACCCCTTCTGGGGACCACTTTTACGGCCCTTATAGGGGTTTTTTTTCCTTTCTAATCCCTATATGGACCACTTTAGCTTTAGAGGCTGAGAGGTCTGACCCTAAACCTCTATAGGGACCACTTGTTCAGCTCCTATGTGGGTTTATCCACCCTAACCCCTGAAGGGACCACTCTGGAATTCCTAAACTTTTCTAGTGGAAGGACAACCAGCGAAACCTTTGTTTCACAGTAACTTTATATTGAGTTTACCAGTTTCTTGAATAATATTTTTGTGTGGTCGTTCCCATCTTATTATTTTTTTTCCAGATGTTCTTGTGAAAATGTTTAGTGGCCAATATAGAGGCTCGCCAAGGACTACTTGGAGAGGACACTAAAGTGGTCACTAATTAGCGAACCTCTATAGTGGCCATTATTTTCTTTTTTAGTGGCCACTTCAGTAGTTTTTCATCCAGTATTCCTTCCGGTAACTCTGATGATTTTAAAACAAACAGATTGGACCAGTTATGTTGATCCATTGGCCCCTAAAGTGGCCACTAAAAGGTTTAGTGGTCTAGTAGTAGCACTTAGACCTCCATAGTGGCCACTAATTGTTAACCCCTTAAGTGGCCACTGATTTCACTGCTATAGCGGCCACTGAAACGTCAAAACCCTATAGTGGCCACAAAATTTTCCCAGAAGTTTTGGAAATTGAAAAAATAGTCGTTTTCAAAACCTTCAAACCGCCTTTTTAAGGGTGCTTTATTGATTTCTCATCACTTCAAATTAATAAATTACCTGGAATTCGGTGAGATCGACGTTGAGAGCACCGTCGAACCGGAGAGACGCAGTGATTGAGGAAACGATTTGGCCTGGAATTTCGTATTTAAAAGTTCATTTTTTAAGAAGAAAAGGATAATTTTGAGCCAACAATGAAACGCCAGAGGGGTCCCTAGAGGGGTTAGGGAAAAAACAGCCGCGATGAGGGACAAGGAATGCTCTCTACAGTGCTGGATGGTCACTATAGGGGTTAAGGGACTAATCCTAATTTTCTAAAGTTTGAGTGGTCCCTGTAGGGGACACAATAATGCTCCCTAGAGTGCTTAAATCTAAGTGGTCCCTATAGGGGTTAAGAGACGGATTCCTAATCCCATAAAGTTTGAGTGGTCCCTGTAGGGGACAAAATAATTCTCCCTGGAGTGCTTAAATCTGAGTGGTCCTTATAGGGGTCAAGGGACGGATTCCCAATGCCCCATAAGGTTCAAGAGGTCCCTATAGGGGACAGAACAATGCTCTGTAGAGCGCCGAAATCTAAATGGTTCCTATAGGGGTTAGGACACTGATTATCAATCCCCATAAGGTTCAAGTGGTCCCTATAGGGGACGCAATAATGCTCCCTAGAGTGCTTAAAACTAAGTGGTCCTAATAGGGGTTAAAGGACTGATCCCTGAAGCTGAAGTGGTCCCTATAGGGGAATTTTAAATTTCTGTTATGATCTGCAAGATGAAAAGAAGTGTAGGAATCACTATAGGGGCCACTCCTGCAAGCTTTAGTGGGAGAGATATAGCGGCCCTTTGAGGGAACCCTTCAAGAGCCTTCAAGGTTGCCCCTATGGGGGCCACTCTGAAGCTAGGAATATTCTGTTTTTTTCGACTCTTGACTCTTTTTCATATTCTATCCGTTTGAATTACGTGTAGAAATACTAGCTAGAAAGTATGGGAAGTAAGGAGAGATCCAGACACGATAAGAAAATTATAAATATGTCCAAGTCTCCATTTATAGTTAAATCTCTCGATTTTTTAAGTCTTACAATGGTTTGAATCGGTCCTAATTCAGATTTTTCATGATTTTTTTAAAGGAAAAATCATTTCCTCACCAATCAAACGATTCAAATTGGTGTAGCTGGGCCGTTCAATGTCCAAATTTCGTCGGCAAATGTCGTAAATTGCCTGAATTTAATTGAAAAAAATGATATTATTATTGAAAAAAACTGTTTTTGAATATATGTTTCAATAAGTTCATACAGAAGTTATATGAATAAAAAGTTTTTTTGGGAAAAAAAGAGAAAAAAATTGAAATTTATTGAGTAAATCTCTCTTCACTGTTTCCTGGAAAAATTTATAAGTTTTGAACAAATTTCTTCACTAATTCGCCCATTATAAGTTGGAAATTTTGGGAAACTGTTCGCATTTTCGAGAATTTTAGGTAAATTTGAAGATTCAATAAGGGGAATTTTTTTATGACAAAAAAACTATTTGAAAAATTTTTTTGAATTGGCTAAGTTTCATCATATTTTCAACTATTTTTTCCCTCTTTGAAATTATATATATTTTTTTAATAATCAAAAAAAACCTCATTATCAACCATAAAAAGAGCAGTCGGAATGCTCCAAAGTTGTGTGTGTGGTGAGAATGGAGTTGTACGGCTCGACGACGGCTGTCGAGACCTGCAAGTGGTCATTTTTGGGATTTTTTGTGGGGGATTTTAGATCTTTCTTCACTTTAATGAGAGAAATGACCGCATTTTTTGGGAATTGGAGCATATTTCATTTATTTTCAAGCTCTTTAGACATGTAAGCGGCCATTTTAGGGATTTTTTTTGATCTTTTTTTCGATTTTTTTCACTATTTTTTTATATGTCAAATGACCGCAGTTTTTTGAAATTTGAGCATGCTTTTTTCCTTTTTGAGTTCTTTTGACATGCAAGTGGTCATTTCAGGGGTTTTCGGTTTCATTTTGTAAGTGACCATTTTAGGGAATTTTTTAGATCTTTTTCGATTTTTCACTATTTTAATAGGTGAAATGACCGCAGTTTTCATGGAATTCGAGCATATTTTTCTTATTTTCGATCTCTCTAGATGGGCAAGTGATCATTTTAGGGATTTTCGGTTTTATGTTGCAAGTGATTATTTAAGGGAATTTTTTTGGAACAATCACCTAGTTTTTCGGAATTTAAAAAATGCTTCATATACTTTTAAGCTTTCAAGACAGGTAAATGACAATTTTGAGGATTTTTTTTTTCAAGTTTCAATGTATTTTTCATATTTTTGAGCTCATTAGACATGCAAGTGGTCATTTTAGGGATGTTTTTCTTTTTTTTTTCTGGGAGCAATGGCCGTAGTTTTTTGAACTTCAAACGGATCTTCTTATATTTTTCAGCTCTTTAAATATGTAAGTGACCATTTTAGGGATTTCCTTTTGGAATTGAGACGCATTTTGTATCTATGAGCTCTTCAGACTTGCAAGTGGTCCTTTTAGGGATTTTTTCAAAAGTTTTTGATGTTTTGTTACTTTTCTGTGAGCAATGACCGCATTTGTTTTTTTTTTCGAACGTAGTTTTATTACTTTTTGAAAATCTTAAAAAGCCTTCAAACGTTCAAGGAAGATTTTTGGGAGTCATTTTTTTACGATAAAAAAATATTTTTACAACTCTTGATCGAAGGGAATTTTTTTCAAAACTTGTATTAGAATGGTCTTGAAATATTTTCTGAACCTTCGAACTCTCAATATTCACATTGAAAATAACTAAAGTTGAACAAAAAAACTATGAAATTTCTCGATTTTTTATTGAGAACATGATGAAGAAGTACCTGTGGGGCCGGATAGACGGAGAACTCGAGTTTAGCCTTTTTTTCCGTAGTCGACGGAAAGTCGCTCCATCAAAAGTGAAGTGAATCCGGAGCCGGTTCCACCGCCAAACGAGTGGAAAACCAGGAATCCCTGGAAAATTATCGATTTATCAAGTTAATAATTTTATTTATAGAAATTTAAGCCCTGATTTTTTTACTTTTTTTACTTAATTTTTAAGCGAAATCGAATTATATTCTTCAAATTAATAATCGATAAGTTTTCGAAACTCGGTTTTTCAAAAAAATACAATTCAGAAATCCGTAGGATTATTTTTTAAAAAAATAATTTCTTTTTTTTAAAAGAAATTTAAAGCCTAACTTACTGTTTCATGAAAGTTTTTTCGATTAAAAAAAATGAAATTACTTTTGTGATCTCTTTGTGAAGATGAAGTCTTAAATAAATAGTTTGTCGTATTTTACGGCTAATTATTTGAAGCCAAGTGCGCTCCAGCGAAATTTTCCCTTTATTTGGCTGGTCTAAAAGAAAACCGGATGTTCCTAAGCAATTCTAGGGATCACTTAAGAGTGCTGAAGCTACTATAGTGGTCTCTAGAACTTCCCCGACACGTCCGGTTAACAAGACGCTTTGAATTTTTGAAAAATCACTTTTTTTCATTTTCACTCTCAGCTCTGATAATTTTTTTCGAAAAAGATTACTTGAGTTTTTTTAATATTCTTGGTAGAAATGTCACAAAAAAACCAAGTTTTTTTATAAAATGAACGAAGTATAACCTGAAGGCCTGTGCAGTTGTCGGCGAGTCGACGGATTCGATCCAAGGTCAAATCGATGATTTCCTTGAAAAAAATAAATGAGATTCCTTTTTCAATATGTTAATTTGTAAACGTTTTACCTATTTTTCTATGGTTGTATTGAGTAAAACAGAAGAAATTTGCTGATTCTTTGATTTAATCTTTTCGAATTTTTGTTCAAAACAGATTTTACAACAGAATAGTGTTGGAAAATTGGCGATTTTTTCATTTCAGAAAGTGCAAAATGGTCCTTTTTCTATTTTTTTGCTCTGAAAAGTCAAAAAACAAATTTTTCCTCAAATTCAGTTAGAAAACCAACCTTTCCAATGGTATAATGTCCACGGGCGTAGTTATTCGCCGCGTCTTCTTTTCCAGTAATCAGCTGTTCCGGATGGAACAGTGACCGGTAGGTACCGGTCCGGATTTCATCTGAAGTTTCTACTTCTTCAAAAAAACTCAAAAAAATCATATACTTCAATTGATATATTATCATATGAGCGCAGAACCCATCAAACTAGTTACTCTCGGCGCGGCCAACGTCCGGCGGCTTCCGTAGCGCAGTAGGCAGCGCGTCAGTCTCATAATCTGAAGGTCGTGAGTTCGATCCTCACCGGGAGCAAACCAATTTTTGCCATTTTTTTTTCCAAGAACGGCTGTTTTCTAGGAATTTCTGGTTATTTCATGATCCCAAGGCATTAAATTTGCCCTTCGCCCTCATCTTTCTCATCACTTTTTTTTTTGTCTAGACGAGAAACGCGTTCGCATCGAGTTTTAATGCGTTTCTTACTTCCCAACATATGGGGGCCAAATGAGAGATGTCTCCATTCCATACATTCGGAATGAGGAGATGTGAGCACAATGAATTTCTGAGTACTTTTTCGGTGCACTTCTTCAGTTTTTTGGGTGGAAGAATGACTTGGATAGTTGTTTCTAGGATTTTCGAAGTTTGAAGCTGATAAAATCGTTTGGGAGTTTTTTCAGGTATCACATAAAGAAACTTTCTTCCAAATAGTTAAACTTTTCTGAATAAAAAACTAAAAAGTCTGTGTATCGAAAATAAAAGAATTTTTTTTGATCTACTTTTTTTCAATTTTTCAGACCCTTTTAAAGTTTTCCTCTTCTTCCTTTTTTCAATTCTGGAAACAACAACCGCAGGAGCCGTTTAGAATGCATGTTGTATGTGCATGTTTCATGGCAAATCGACCCATTTGAGAAGCTTCCGGAATCCCTTGGGAGCCACTCGAAACTCTTCCAACATGATCAATTGCCATATTAGAGCTGGCCCCCGGAACGAGCCGCGAAAAAAAAAATCGCCGTGAGAGATTTGAGCTTGTGCGCTCTATTGAAAAATTCAGAGGAGTTTTGGAAGAGATTGATGAAAAAATTATTCAGATTAAAGAAAATTTGTGGGTTGAAAAAAATGGGGAAATGCGCTATGTTGATAATCTTGGAAAAAAATACATCCTTTCGTGGGAAATTTTGTTTTTTTCTTATATTATGAAAAAGCCATTCCAAGTGCGTCCCTAGGAAAGACCCTTCAAAGACCCTATAGGGACAACTTTGAAGTTCCTAAGTTATAAATATTTTTAATCTTTAGTCTCACTTTTTTTACGTATTGAAATTGTGAAGAAGTACAGAATTAAACACAAATTTTGAAAATTAGCGATTTTATAGCAAAATAATTCGAATGATGGCCAATAATTAGGCCCATATTTGAAAAAAAAAAATTTTAAATTAAAAAGTTCAGAGTACAATAAAAAAAAGGATCCAGTCATTAAAATTTTTCAGTTTCCACTATCCATCCATTTCACAACAATTCCCTCATTTGACGCATTCAAAGGCCTTGCCAATTACCAGGCTTTCGGCCTCGAAATGCCCCCAAAAGCCTCATTTTTTCCTTCCGCCTGGCCTCCATAAAAGGCGCGCCGAGGATCGATCCTCGCCGCCATTTTCGGGTCCAACAGATGAGTCGGCAAACAATTAGATTCCACACACATAGATATCCCATTGAAATGGAAAATTCGTGGTTTCTCTGAGATCTTGCGATTTTTTTCAAGTCGAAAAAAATTGCAAAAAGGTGATTGCTCCCGGTGAGGATCGAACTCACGACCTTCAGATTATGAGACTGACGCGCTGCCTACTGCGCTACGGAAGCCACGGATCCACCTGAACGCAAAACCCACCAATAACCGTCGGCTCGAGGTCCACCATCACTGCACGAGGAACGTGACGACCGTTGCCGGTTTCCGAGAAAAAGGTCGAGAAGGAGTCGTCGCTGCCGCCGAGCGACTTGTCCGACGGCATCTGACCGTCCGGCTGGATTCCTGAACAAAAATGTAGTCTTGTGCTGGAATTTAAAAGAAAAATTCAATTATTTTTATCCGAAAAATTATACTATCTCTGTTCTCTTATCAGTAAATTTTACTATCTCTGTTTAAAATTATACAATCTCTGTTTTCTTATTCGTTAAATCAATATTCCTTCGCGAGAATATTACGCCTAACAAGGAAAAAGAAAATTGTAAAAGTGGAAAAGGCGCCAAACTCAAAATTTTATGTGTACTGTAATCCTTACTTCTGTATACACCGCTTATCTGCGTAAGTTGCATTTTAAAATACGCCAAATATTCATTTTTTTTTTGTTAATTTTCAGCTTTTTCCTTTTTAATGAGTTTTTTCAATGAGTTTGCTTAAAGAAATGTATTTTTTTCTGTGTAGAAGAATTTAAATTTGCGTTACTCGGTAGGTTTTGAACGGAATTCCTCGTTCTAATTCAAAAATTTAAATCAATGCAATTATTAAAATTTTTGTAATATTTTTTTGCTCTTGTTATATCAATTTTTTGGTTGAAGGGTTTGTGAGAGTTCTCTTTTCATGTTGTTTTTTGATTTCATAAGTTCCTCATTATTTTTTAACATTTGTTAATCTATTGTTTGGTTATTGTATTTCCCGTTGAGATTTGGAACATTCTCTTTTTTTTTCTTTCAGCATGGCATTTTTGAAAATAACTTTTTTTGGGCGACTTTTGTGTCTGATTTAGGTTTTTCTTCAAAACTGATACAATGATTATAGATACCATGTTCGAGGCAGTAGAGCTCCCAGCAAGCGTTGCCGATTTGAACGCCGGCTTGGCCGATGTGGATCGAAATCACCTCTCTCTGTAATTTTTTCTTTTTTTCGGCTCAGAAAAAAATGTTTCAATTCCCTAAACGCAACATTTTGTGACTGGAGAAAATTGGCCCCATTTCACTTCCAGAGCAGAAAAAAAAATTGGACAATTTCGCAATTTATCGATCTTTTTCTTGCAGGGGCACTGGAAGCTGAAACAAACGAACGACGGACCGAACATCTGCCGCCATAAAATGGATAATTTGAATAGGATGTCGACGTTTTGTCAATCGAATGGACATTGTTTGGATTTCCGACGCGATTGCTTGATTTGGGGGTATATTTTTTGCTTGTTTTTAGTGGGAATCGGCCTTGGAGCACTTCAGATTTTGTTGAAACTTGTAAATTTTTTTATTTCGAGAATCCTCGTCAGGTTATTGAAGGCGCAGAACTATAACATAGAAAAAAAATGGATTTTATTTTTTTTAAAGCTTAAATGAATAATGTGATCAAGAACTTGATGCTTTTCAGGGGTTTTTTTTTCAATTTTTTGCCTTTTTTTTTAAGTTTCGAATTTTTCTAAGTGGAAGCTTTGTGTGCTGAAAGGTGGGAAATTTTTTTTTTTGGGATTATTTTCCTAGAAATATTTTTTTGAAAAATGAAAAAAATAAGAAGGTTTTTGAAGATTTTTGAAAAGTTTCATCTTAACTAACTTTTTGAATTTCTACAGTAAACTTAGGTTACGGTAGCTTGGTTCCTGCTGATTTTTCTTCATTACTTCGAAATTTCTTTGAATTTTAACACGAGGATGGTAACTTATCTGTGTTTTGAACTGATTAAATCGCATAGTTTCAAACTTACAGTAATTCAAACTACGGTAGCATAAAAAAATTGACTTAATGAAGCTTTTAAAAAAACCAATATACCTGAATTAATACCGAAAAAAAGGTAAGTTTCCAAAAGCCAGATGCACTGATTTCCAACGACAAGCTCCAAGGAAAACACCGTAATATTTTGATAGTTACCGTAATCTACCGTAAGGTCTGAAAAGCTCCAAAAACCCGACTCACCATGACGGACGGGGTCGACGGCTCGCGACAGCGGGGTCAATGGAATGCTCCTTTTTGGGACGGCCTCAGGGCGTCTCGTCGTCTGCGTCTCCACCCAAAAGCCTTCTCTCTCACCTCAACCAAGCCACGCCCATTTCCTCTTCTCTGGGCTTCTTTTTTTATTTTCTTCTTCTCGAATTGAGCTGGCTCCAACTCTGACGAGTTTAGTGGATAAAGTTGCGTTTTTTTTTCGTCGAGGAGCCAAAGTGAATGAGTTTCGCATTGAGACTTTGAGCTGGTGAAGGAGCAAAACAAATTGAATGAATGGGAATTTCGGCAAGAAATGAGAACTTTGGACCTTTTTCGAGCGTTTGGTGGAAAAAATGTAAGCGAAAGTTCTGGGGGAATGAGCTTGTGGCTTGAAAGTAAGGTCATTTCACTTTACGGTTAGGAATTTCTTGAAAATAAGCCAAAACTATCCTTACTGTACCAGATGAAGAGCCTGAAAGTCTCAACCTGCATAACCATCTACTTTACGAGAAATAAGGGCTCCCAAAAAATCACAAAATAGCCCATTACAATATTTTTAGGGTTTTCTTCGTCTTAGAGACGATTTTTCTCAAAAATGAGAAAGTTGTGCAGGTTGAAACTTTAAAAAACGTCTTCCGGTACATCAAGGAACGTTCTGGCCAATTTGCAGGAAATTCCCAACCGCAAAGTAAAATGACGTCCCTAGTCAAAAGGAAGAAGAATAGGGGAAGAAGAAGTTGACTTCCGAAAATTCTAAAAGCCTAGGTACAAAAATCAGTATTAAGCCCAGCTTTTCAACTTTGAGAGGTAGTACTGACTTTAATTAACGAGAATTCGGGAGGAGGGGTGCGCATGTATGGAAGAAATGAGAACTTTTTTTTGCCTTTTTCCTCGATTTTTTCAAAAGTAATAGTTTATTCAATGATTTTCGCTCTAGGAATGTTGAAAATATGTAGATTAGATTTCTAGCAATGTCTTTAAAGGCATAGGGGCAGTAAAAAACGGTGTCTCAGTTCAAAGCAGTACTTTGTAGAGCTTTTCATTTCGAATCGAACGGTAAACTTGGAAACGTACAGAAGTTCCTAGTTTTGGAGAAAAAATAATTCAAAGTCGGAGAGACGAAAGTTTGAGTTCCCGCGAAAAGGGCGCTTTGCAGTAAAGTTGCTCTATGGACAACAGGCTTCGCCATTTGTCGGATTTTCGCTTTTTTCTTCGTTTCTTTCAGTTTTCAATTTTTTATATTGTCACCAAAGTTCTTTTCGTCACAAAAGCTTTTTATTCATGTATAATTTGCAAACTTTGATCGCAAAAATGCTTCTTTGGTGAAAAATGATGATTTTACACAGGTTTCGATTGGGATTGCAATATTTTGTGTTTTCTTTATTATCAATGTGTGTTTTCTGTTTTCTTAATCGATTTTTCAGAGTAGAAACCTTTAATTTGAAGCAGATAGCCGGTTATTTCACACAAAATGCGAGTCTAATGAGACGTCCGCAACATCGCGTGCACGGCTACTGTAAACAGTTGTCTGCATACCGATCCAAAGCTTTTTTCAAAATTAAAGGCGGGAAAGTAAAATCGCGTTTTTCTTCTAAAGTTGTCACATCTGTAATTTTTTTGAGTACACCGTTGGATTCGCAAAGAAAAACTATACAAGATACTGCTTTCACCTGAAACCCCATTTTTTACTGCCCCTATGCCTTTAAAGAAAAAAATGAATCTGGATTATTCTCAAAAAAAGATGAATCATCAGAAATATGAGTGAAGCCCTTCTAAAGTTACCAATTTTTTTCTTTTCCCGCTGTCACTTTTTTTCTCACCATGAGTTCCCTCCTTGAAGAAAGTTCAAAGAAAAAACTTTTTGACCTGATTTTTAAAATTTTTTTTTCCAGATGCAAGTCTCATCTCGAATGGGTCCAGCGCAATACTGACAGAGCTATCAACGACGACAGGAAGAAATTGATAACTTGTGGATTTTTGCCTACTTTTGAGTTGAATAAAACTTTTTCGCGTGCCTTGAAATGTTGTCGAGAAAAAATGTTGAGAGTTGAAATTTTCCTTTGCTATTTGGACATGTTTTTGTGAATGAATTATGTATGAGACTTTCCGAAAAAAAAAGTGATTTCGAAGTTTTTGTTGATAAAAAAAGTTGTATCAAATTACTTAATCATGAAGAATCAATGGAAAAAAATTGTAAATTCGAGATTCTATCAGTTTTTGATATTTTTCTCGCAGATTTTGAGCCTTTCGGAGGCTTCTCCAGTGATTTTATAATTTTTTGAGAGGTAGCTTGGGCTTTCTTAAAAATCCAGTTTTTTAAAAAGAAGTTTTAAAGGGGAAAAATTATGAGAAGCTAGTTTTGTAATCGATATTATTACAGAAAACGGATTTTTTAAAATTTACCTCTCAGGATTGATACAACTCCTTCCTGCTCTAATTTGAAGGTTTTTAAAAAAATGTCTTCTCCAAAGTTTCACTTCAGTTTTTTTGAGGATCTGAGCCGAAGAAGAAGGGAAAAAAAGCGCGATTTCAAAGCGAATTCTACGTGGAAGCTGTTGTTGGACAGTCAGTTTTTTTCTCTATTTTTCTTTATTTTTCCTCTTTGTTTTTTTGGTTTTTTTGACTTTGATGAGTGGAGAATGGAAAGGAAGTTTAAAATGGGGATTTTTATAGTGGTTAACTTTTTGAAGATAGAAGGAGAATGTTTTTAACTTTTCACTGGGGCACAATTTTCTCGATTTGGTAGTTTCTTGGGTTTAACGGTTCTCCTTGGGATTTAGAGGGCTTTCGATTGGGTTCTTGTTAAAAAAAGACCTCAAAAACGTTGCAGGTTGAAGAAAATGAATAAAAAGTAGGCGCATGAGATATTTGAGAATAAAACACTTTTTCCAAAGGTGAATCGAGAAGTCGATACAAATAGCTACCGGGTAGCAACTTTTGAAAAAGTCAATCGGCGTATGGTAATCGGTGGTCGTTTGTATGTGACCGGGTACCATCTCTATGGTACCTGGGTCGGAGATCGATGCAAGTAGCTACCGGGTAGCTACCTGACATTCGCGATTTCTTTCGGAAAGTCTAGAATCGCTTCCCGGGTCGTTATTTTTTGTTTCAGCTTTATCCAATAAGACCCTAGAAGGCCTGGGAAGGTGTAAAAAATAAACACTGGTGCTAAATGAACGACCGATGTGCCAGCCAGTGGCAATCGCGAATTTTAGGTGCCTACCCGGTAGCATCCAGATACTGATCAGGTGCTATCCAGGTACCATAGAGATAGTACCCCGTCGCATACAAATGACCACCGATTACGATTCGCCGATTCACTTGAGTTGCTACCCGGTACATATGTGACAGGACGCTAGTTGACCTGACCTCAATGCCATATGTACTATCATGTAGGCGTGCCAATGGCACGCCGCCTACTTGTATTGTCACTCTTGCGCTCAGCACGCATACCAACTGGCGGTGCTGAGTTGCTCTAATAAAGATCCAAGAGCAATGTCGGTTCTACACACATCTAAATAACACGTCGAGGCCCGGTGAAGCCTTGCGCGGTTATATGGAGGTACCACCGTAGAATCCGGCTGCTTGGACTAATTCACCTATTTCATCTGTTCTACCTCGTCCAACAGCCGCCTGCAGAAGCTACAATCTTCTGCAGGGAACTCGACCTATTCTATTCCGCTAGCAGTTTTCGCATATCGTGTTCGGGATTCCAGCGAGGCTACAACTTTCTTCTGAAGCCGCTCCAGTGAAGCAGCGCACGAGTCCGGTCACAAGTAACGTCGACTCCTCCACATTGACAAGTTTTTGAACTTTTTCACCGCGATTTTGACCCCTTTGTTGGTACGCGATACACGGTTGGGATGGTGGGATGTGTAGAGTGATATATATCGCCTGGCCTGTGAGCCCTTTTCTCGTCGATGACGACTTCAATCGCTAGTTCATATGTGTTGAGAGTTTTCCGTGCTTGTCTCGTTTTATTTTGTTGTAAGCCCCCCGATGTAGTTTACAAAACTCTTCTCTTCGATTTCCTTTTCTCATTTGATCCTTGACCGGATACGTCCTTTACCTTGTCTTTTGATTGGGTTCCTAGATAAATAAGTGACGTAGAAATCGTTGTATAAGAGTCTGCTAGTGCTTAGAATTGTGTTGTAGAACTGTTTTAGAGCGCAATTGTCCTCTTGCGTTAATATCTGTATTTTTGTTAGACCGTCCTTGATTGCCTAGTCCTCAAAAGTTGTCTTAGTTTCACTAATTCCCGCTTCGGGACGAAGCTTTCTTGGAGCGGAGGGATGTGACAGGACGCTAGTTGACCTGACCTCAATGCCATATGTACTATCATGTAGGCGTGCCAATGGCACGCCGCCTACTTGTATTGTCACTCTTGCGCTCAGCACGCATACCAACTGGCGGTGCTGAGTTGCTCTAATAAAGATCCAAGAGCAATGTCGGTTCTACACACATCTAAATAACACGTCGAGGCCCGGTGAAGCCTTGCGCGGTTATACATACATACTTGTATCTACCTCTCGATTCACCAGTGTCAAGATTTTTTGATTTCTTGATTTTTCATGAGATTGTAGCTGGACTTCCTCAGTGATCCTCCTTTTGCAATTCTCTGAGATTTCCTGAACAAGTCAAGGAAAAATCCATGAAATTTGAGAGAATTCATGAAGTAGTTGTCTTTTGTTGGAATATTTTCTCATTTTTCAAACTTCCCTTTTTTTCGCACAAATAAATTTATAAAAACGAACGACTTGTCTCAAATACTCAGAGTTCTCCATAATTGGCATCCCTATAGGTTTTCAAATTCATTTTACCAATAGTTGTTTTCTTGAAAATTGTTGATTGCTATCTGAAAAAGTCGGATTTTTTTTCGCAATGGCGACTTTTAAGTGGTCAATGAAGTGTTGTCTTCAAAACCACCAGACAGCAACGATTATTCAACGGAAACTACTCGATGATCTTTCTGATTTCCATTCTGGCCCGACCAGAGCCGACTTTCGTTACAACTTATAGCAATCAAGGCTCATTTTGTTCCTAGAATCACCTCTTCTGAAGCTTTTCAGACAGGTTCTCCAGAAAGTTCGTAAAGTTCTCCAGAAACTAACAACCTAAAAACTATGCCTACTATGACTGTTAGAAGGTCCGAACCCAAAATTCGGTGATGCAATAAGAAGCTCAAGTTTTGGCCCGACCTGAGCCGACTTTCGTTATAACTTATAGCAATCAAAGCTCTTTTTTTTCAAGAATTACCTCTGCTCAAATTTTTATCAGTTTTAATTTGAAATTTCCATGTTTTCCTCTGTTAAAGTCACCAGGAACGATTATAGAAAGGCCTAAGGGTTGAATAAATTGTCTTAGAAGCTCAAATCATGGCCCGACTTGAGCCGACTTTTGCCGCAATTTATGGAGGTCTTAGAATGAACTCTTCTGAAGCTGTTCATAATGGACTTATGGTCGTGAAATTCTCCAGAAACTACCATCGAAAAAACTGTACCTACCATTAAAAGCTTTGAATCTCATGCAATAAAAGGCTCAAGTTTTGGCCCGACCTGAGCCGACTTTCGTCAGAACTTATAGCGGTCAAAGATTTTTTTTCTAGTGTCACTGCTTCTGAAGCTGTTCATAATAGTTTCAATTTAAAGAGTTTTCTGTTTTCCGCCAAAAAGAGAGCTGAATGAATGGTTGGTAACGATAATAAAAGCTAAACTTTTGGCCCGACCTGACCCGACTTTCGCCAAAACTTATAGAAATCAAAGCTCATTCGTTGATCCCTTATCACTATATCAGTATCACATCTTCTGAAGCTGTTCATAATAGACTTGTGGTCGTGAAACTCTCCCGAAACTAGAATCGAAAAAACTATACCTACCATTAGAAGCTTTGTATCCCATGCAATAAAAAACTCAAGTTTTGGCCCGACCTGAACCGACTTTCGCCGCAACTTATGCAGGTCCTAAAATCACCTCTTCTGAAGCTGTTCATAATAGACTTGTGGTCGCGAAACTCTCCAGAAACTAGAATCGAAAAAAATATACCTACCATTAGCAGCTTTGAATCTCATGCAATAAAAATTTCAAATTCTGTCCCGACCTGAGCCGACTTTCGCCAGAACGTATAGCGGTCAAAGATTATTTTTTTTCTAGTGTCACTGCTTCTGAAGCTGTTAATAATAGTTTCATAAAAAAATTTGAAGAATTTCTTGTTTTTCGCCAAAAAAAGAGCTGAATAAATGGGGGATGATGATAAAAGGCTCAAATTTTTGGCCCGACCTGAGCCGACTTTCGCCAGAACTTATAGCGGTCAAAGATTTTTTCTAGTGTCACCTCTTCTGAACCTGGGGGAGGGGGATGATGATAAAATTTTAAATTTTGGCCCGAGAACCTCCTGCAATCAAAGCCCAACCCACTCCGCATCCAGAATCACCTCTGCTGAAGCTGCAGCCAGCTGCTCGAATGTCTTGAAGTGGTGGAAAAGGGGGGCCAGGCCCATGGAAGGGCAAACAAATGCAGGCACAGTATCAGGTGTCCTACCGTAATCTGTCGATAATTGGCAGACCCGACGGCGACGTCCTCAGTCCCATTCTGGGCTTCCATCGAGGCTTGTCGTCTGGAATTCGTGCCCTTTTTGAACTGGAATTACTTGAAATATCGACTGTTCTGCGATATTTTGTGGCTCTTTCCTGCGATTCTGGAGATTTTTATTTTAACTGAAGTGTACTGAAACTACTGGTGTTATAGTGGTTGTCATAAGTTATGTTTTGCGGGTTTTTTTTTGAAGAATTTTTTTTCGAAACTGACTCCGACTTATGGAGCTTCAAAGTGTGCAAAATACGCAAATTAGGCCAAAAAAGCGCTATTTCGGACTTTTGAAAATTCCTAACTCGAAAACGAGATCTATTGCGAGAAATTTTCTTTCTGTTCTGGGAACAGGGGGTCTTAAAGTACACTTCAGCAAAGTTTCAGCAAAAGTTCAACCGGGGGGTGAAAAAAGTTGTCTAGTTAGTGAAACGAATTGAGTTTTTGGTTGTCCTGAGCGGTTTTTCATCGACTTGTATACTATTTTTGAACGGAAATTCTGGATTTATTGGCTGTTTTCTTGTTGATTTTTTTCAATTTGAAGCTTTTTGAATTAGATAGAAAAAGCTGGAGCTTTCAGCGATTAGTCAGTTTTTTGGTAAATTTCACCAGGTGCCGATTTTCCCTGAAATTCGTTATTTTGGAACTCGTTTCTCCATGTTGGAACTACGGAAAGTTGATTTTTGTAGGTATTCTGCTGTTGGAAGCTTCAATTCTATCCCCCCCCCCCTCTCTGAAATTACAATATTTTGACGGTCTTGTTTGAGATTTCAATCGATTTCTACTGATAACTTTGTGATTTTGAGCTCTGACCGACTCTGTAAATGTTGTTTTTTTTTTCTTTTTGATTTTATCAAATCATCGGCTTGGAATTGACTTGAACTCTGTAATTGAGGAAAACTCGGGGTACAGGTTGTAGGGTTTTTTGAGAATTCCGGCCGTTCCAAATTTATACATCCAGCTGAATCTTTTGAATTTTAATGCTTCCCGTTACTTTCGCATTAATTAATCGAATTTTACGCAGTTTTTGAGTAAAATTGACTTCAAATCCTTTTCTTTTATTGCGGCGTCTTGGCTTGAAAAAAACATTTGGCTGATTTTCGTTTTTTCGGAATGGATTTTTATCGATTTTCGGGAAAGTTCTGCTGTTTTGAAAACTATCATTCAGCTGAATATTCTGAAGCTTGAAAGCTCTAGTTTTTTTTAATTTTCTACTTGGAAAATCCTGTTCTAAGGATAGAGCTCAGCGCCGAATCTTTTTGAAGAAGTCTTCAAATTTTGTGACTAACAGTTTTTTGACTCATATACCTTCTAAAAGCTGCGTAAACTCTGAATTTCTACTTTTCCTGATAGATTATGGAAGTTTCAACTGCTCCATCAGTTTTTTAGCTGAGCCTCGAAGCTCAAGTTCATTTATTTTACTTGAATCTTTCAGGTTTTTTATTTTTCATTTGAAAACGCTCGATTTTGTCTGGGTATTCAGTGATTCGACAGTTTTGATTGGCTTTTTCATTCCCTTTTTCATGCCTTTTTTACTTCCTACCGTTTTTTTTCTTCTGAATGACTGGATTTTGTGCTTCTAGAAATTTCTTGTGTCATCTTTCATTTTCATTTATCAATTTTCCATCGACAGCTTTTCCTAGTGAATGATAAAATTATTACTCATTATCATTGTTTACGATCCATTTAATTTCTTTCTTACTGGAACTAAACATAGTTCTTTTTCTATCCAATTTATTTTCCAGATTTTAATAATCTTCATTTTTCAAGTAATCTGTTGAGTTTTCGTTTCTAGAACTTCACAGTATTGGCTTTTTAGTTGATAGTTATTTTATTTATTTAATTTATTTAATATTTTTTTGAGTATCTAGTTCATTCAATACCAAAGTGAAATGATGAATTAAGATTTTTTTGAGCTCTTTTCTTTTTTTGAGCTGAGTTTTAGGTTTTCATTGCATAATAGTTTTTTTCATTATACATCATTTCACGGACTAATCAAAAATAACTGTCCTTAAAAATTCAAAAAGAATTGAAAGGGAACTGTTTAAAAACGTAGATAGAAAATAAAAAGATTAAAATTGTCGTAAAAATAAGACTGTCACTTTTTTTCACTGAACTTTGTCTGATTAGTTTTGATTTTAGTTTGGATCTATCAGAGCTCAGAAAAAAATGAAAAAAACCCTATTTTTAATTTTTTTGGAAAGGGATTTTGAAATTAGATGACTATTTTTTTCCTTCACTTTCTTACCATGAAAAAATGTTTCCAGCTTGTTCTTGTGCCCGCATTTTTGAGACGTCCATGCATTTGTAACTTTTTTCCTTTCCTCTTTTTTTTTGAAGCGTCCTTTTGTACCCTCATTGATTTTAGACTTTCCTCTGATGAAATTGAATATTTCATTTTTGTTCCAATAAAAAAGGCCCGAAAATCCGCGCGGGATTTCATCGAACTGCGAATAAATGACCGTGCTTCTATTCGTTGTTGATGAAACCTGCTCGGTTTCGGTGGCTGTTTTTTCTCTTTTTTCCTGGTTTTTTTGAGCAGTGCGTTGCGGTCGCGTCGCGTTTTTGTATCTATTTTAATTTTCTTTATCGATTTCGGATATTTTTCTTTGAAAATCTCATTATTTTGTGACATAATCGTCCTATTTTTGGCTGAAATTGAAAAATATGAAGGTTTTATAATTCTAGTCACTAAGTTCAAAGCTTCCTCAGAATTTTTCAATGAAAAAAAATCCAGTGACTTCCTTTTTTCTTTGTGTCAAGCAGCTATACATTTATTTTTCTTCATGTGATTTCAGAAATTTGAGAATTTTCCTCCTGTTTTCTATTCATTTTGAGCTCGAAAATCAAATCATCCTAAAAGCGAAATAGGACCGTTCGGAAATAAAGCGTGAAATGATGAAGGCGTCGCGTTTCAGGGGCTGGATTGGTCAAACAGCCGCCAGAAATGGGCATCGAATTTCAGTCCCCCACAATGTTGGATAGATATATATTTGGACCCTACGATTTGAGCCTTTATTCGAGTAGTTCCATTGATGAAATTCAAGAATTTTTCAATGTAAATCTGTGACACTTTTTAGTGGCCACTATAGGGTTTCGACGTTTTAGTGGCCACTATAGTAGTTAAATTAGTGGCCACTTAAGTGATTCAAATTTAGTGGTAAATCGGATAATAGTGGTCACTATAGAGGTGGGTTTAGTGGCCACTTCAGTGTCGTGCCTCTATAGTGGCCACTAAAAATTTTCCCAGATAGCCAAAGTCTTCTGGATAGCTTCGATTATTGATGGAGCACAAAAGTTGATGATAGTATAATTATAACTTCTATCCCCCGAATCTGGATTCTTTTTTTTCATCTTAGGACAAAAGAACGAGAAATTCTTTCACTGGCAGAAGGCTCAAAATATCAAGCAAAGCTTAGAAGTAAGGAGGCAAGTAATGTACGAGAAGGGCATAAGTAGTGTGGTTCCCCCACGTACCCCCGCTACGATACCATGGAGGTCCCCCCGCCACAACCATCTTCTCAGAACGTCGCAACAACTTGTCGTCTTATCCCGCAATCTTACACATCCTCTAATTCCGGCGCGTGATAAGAGCGCGGTGTGGTAAAGCGGCTGTCGAAAAAACGGCAGCGAGGAGCAGTGGGAAGGCGGCGGACTGGGGATCACGAGGTCATAGGTTCGGTTCCCATGCAAACTTTTTGCAGTTTTTATTACTTTTTTGCAGTTTTTATTACTTTTTTGCAGTTTTTATTACTTTTTTGCAGTTTTTTATTACTTTTTTGCAGTTTTTTTATTACTTTTTGCAGTTTTTTCCTTTTATTCCAGGTTTTGAGGCGTATAAACATGAAAACGTTTTTGAACCTATTCGAAAAAAACTCCATCTTTTTCACTTTTTTTCGTGATTTTTCCATGCGTTGGAAGCATGCGTTCCCCAGAGCTTCTTCACATCACTGATTATCACTAATTATCACTGGTTATCACAAATTATCACTGGTTATCACAAATTATCACTAGTTATCAATATTTATCAGTAAATATCACTTTAATCAGTAATCATCCCCGTTTATCTTTTTCATTATCACCAATTATCACTTTTTATCAGTAATTATAACCGATTTTTCACCAAATTTTTCCCGTGAAAAACAGACATTTCAGAAAAACTTTTATATTTTATAAACAATGGGCATTTCATCGGTAATTTTTGGAGATTAAGCGCAATTCAGGATCAGATCTGGGATGGTTATCGATGATTTATCAGTAATCATCCCCCGTTTATCTTTTCATTATCACCAATTATCACTTTTTATCAGTAATTATAACCGATTTTTCACCAAATTTTTCCCGTGAAAAAAACAGACATTTCAGAAAAAAACTTTTATATTTTTATAAACAATGGGCATTTCATCGGTAATTTTTGGAGATTAAGCGCAATTCAGGATCAGATCTGGGATGGTTATCGATGATTTATCAGTAATCATCCCCCGTTTATCTTTTTTCATTATCACCAATTATCACTTTTTATCAGTAATTATAACCGATTTTTCACCAAATTTTTCCCGTGAAAAAAACAGACATTTCAGAAAAAAACTTTTATATTTTATAAACAATGGGCATTTCATCGGTAATTTTTGGAGATTAAGCGCAATTCAGGATCAGATCTGGGATGGTTATCGATGATTTATCAGTAATCATCCCCCCGTTTATCTTTTCATTATCACCAATTATCACTTTTATCAGTAATTATAACCGATTTTCACCAAATTTTCCCGTGAAGAACAGACATTTCATTTATCAGTAATCATCCCCCGTTTATCTTTTCATTATCACCAATTATCACTTTTATCAGTAATTATAACCGATTTTCACCAAATTTTCCCGTGAAAAACAGACATTTCAGAAAAAAAACTTTATATTTTATAAACAATGGGCATTTCATCGGTAATTTTGGAGATTAAGCGCAATTCAGGATCAGATCTGGGATGGTTATCGATGATTTATCAGTAATCATCCCCCCGTTT